GTGAAGTTGTCATAATAATTCTGAAGCTGTCATGAATAATTCTGAAGCTGTCATGAATAATTCTGAAGCTGTCGTGAATACTCATGAGGTGCTACCTGCCTCTTCTGATGACTCTTTAACCGCTGATATAATGTATTATAGGACGGAAGCACCGTATCAGCTGGTGTTGTGGAGAAACGGGGTCGCGGACGCCCCCGATTGTACACAACAGCTGATGAGCGCCGGGCAGCTAATACACTGAAACAACGCAATCGTCGTGGAAGACTCAAAGCGTAGGAGACAATCGTGAATGTCAGAAATAGATTGTAGGCTAACATGACGTTGAATAAGAGAGATCGGGCTTGTATCGGAACCCCTGAATGCCGCAACCAAGGTATCCCCTACTCATTCAACAGGAACTCACAAACCTGAGCGGTAAGACGCCTCGCTAATAGGCAAGGCTGAATACTAAGGAATACTAAGGCAGGCCAAACCAGCACTACATCCGGTACCGCGAATGGCGCATTCAGGCACGCTAGAAATGGATGACGAATTCTCAGCTATGGAACGTTGGCCTGCCATCGGAGAGAACCCGAAGTGCCCCCACTGCGGCGTCAATGTCGACGAGTATGCATGGCTCGCATCGAGATGCATGGAGCTGGAGGACGATGTTCAGAGACTTCCAGAGACTTCGAACAGAGATCTCAACGGGCGCCTTAGTTTAGTTTACTTATCCAGAAGTTACTGCCCAGGTTCCGGGTGTTTGTTGGGGGGAGCTGAAAATACATTATGTTGACACGTTTTAGCCATTATACATCATGCGTGCAAACGGACAGAGCATGGGCCCGGACGTACAACGATAAAAAGAAAGGAAAAACTAACAAGAGGAGATAGGGGAGGGCGGTAGCGCCGATACAGAAGATGTGAAAGCCCAGGTTAGAAAGAGAAGAACCCACTTGTAGATGACAAAAAGGAAGGGCGGTCACAGCACAAACTCATTCGGGGCCCAACTTGCCGAAACCCACCGAAGATAGCGTCTTCACCATTGGCAAGAATGAATGACTTACTGTATCACATGGTGAAAGGCGAGGTAGGAGAGAAGCAAGCCAACAAAAGAACAACACGCTCTGAGGAAACACGGGAAAAACTAAAAGGTACAAGATGTAAGTTAGCATAATGAACATAAAGAGAGAAGTTAAGCCGAAACGTACGGGAGACGCGGGGAGATCGCTGCGACGGGGTTTACAAAGTAGGAAGTTCACCCATTACACGCTTGGTGATGCGAAATGGTCCAGCTAGAGGTTACGGGCTTATATGACGGATGTCACTGCACCTCGTGCAGACGTCGAACGCCCCAGCTCACTGTTCATGAAACCAGATGGCACACCGTTCGAAATTTTGAGCGTTTTGCAGTGAGGATGGTTATGAAGTGTGGTTTCGGGCCGATCTGGATTTTGAGCATGTGGACCGCTCAAAAGCTCCGGAAGGGACGATGTCCTACAGGTGTACACATGTCCGTTTCATGCAGTGTTGCAGGAACGAGAGCGGCAAGAAGTCCCCCAATACAGGCAACCTTCTGAATAACTTCACTTAAACGAGCATAGTACCATGTAGCACCACCAAATTTATACTCGCCTACCACTTCCTGCAGTTCAAGTCACCAAAAGACGATTCGGATGGATTGTCTTCCACTTCGCCTGCCTCGACGTGCTTGTGGAGTACTGGAATGTATGTCCGCTTAATTGGGAACGCGAGCTGTTTTCGTACCGATTACAACTGACAGTTCTTCAAAATGACGGAACATAAGCCAAGGAGGTTAAGAGTGCCTCCTGGCGTCCCATGTCATCGTTTCCAGGTTGCTGCTACCTGGCATCGGCCTAGAATGCTTGACTCTTGACTGGTGCATCAAGTATCTTATTAGGAGAGGCTCAACACCGGCATACATAAACTCCGCTAGTCAGTTAAATCTATTTTTTCCTGTTCATTATCTAACACTAAAGGAACGTCCGTATGATCAATTCCAAGCTGGGCATAATCAACGGAAAGTTTGCGGCCACTTTAGTGGCTCGGCACCGCAGTTCGCAAATAAGGTCAGGATTTAGGGTTCTCCAGGTAGGCTGCCAGCTCGGTGTTAACAGAGGAATAGAAAGGATTTGGTGTTTCACCCTATCCCGAAAATCATCGATGTTCGTGTCTTTCGGTGCAGCATCGAGCCCGATGTGTACAGCTTGAATGTCAGCCATGGTCCAAACCCCACAATCATACCCGTTCCATTGGCGCTGTTCCATCTAGGACTTGTAATGTATATGATGTTCATACAGCAAGATGGCACACCTACAGTGATTACTCTGGTGGACCAATTGGACCAGTTGTATCCATGCTCATCATCAGGGTGAATGAACAACCAGATGGCATTAACTAGGCCTCGAAGTATCTGAAGAAAGCGGTAACATTAAGACTGGAATGTGGGCTAGAATTAGGAAACGCACTGTAAACACCCACTGTGGACCGTGGCGATTGATATGGGCGCTTTGTTGTAGAGGTATGCTGTCAAGATAGCGCAGCTCTCGTTGTTCGAAGTTGACAACACCGAGCAGCCAGTGACCACGCCTCCTTGAGTAACACGGAATCGTCCAACTGGTTGCATCGAAAAGATCGGTTTGGACTTTCTTTGTCGCTCGCTAAAATATTGGTCAGTACAGATTCCATCGGTGTATTCCCACATACATCCAACAGGCGAACTGCCATACAATGTCTCATTCCTTCACACTGGGTAGGAAACATAATCACATGGGGACGAGTGGTCTTGAGTATGTCCCGCAGCTTTTCGTCTGTAAGGTCTTTCAGCATCTCAACATAGGCATCGATTATTGCTCCGTGTATCAGCCGCCGGCGATTGACTGTTGGTAGTGCATCAGAGAAGATCGCAATATGTTTGTAATATCTTGCTTTGTCTCTGGTCTTGCTGTCGTTCACTATCTAATGAGACATCAGTGGCGTCAGTCACAGGGGAACTTGGAAACATTCTTACTTTTTCAGTCTCTTGAGGTAAATGCAACTCCGTTATTTCCTTCCAGATTTTTGTTGGCTTTTGTTGTTGGGTAGACTGGGTGGGTGAGTGGATGGCATCGAAGATTGTTCTAATTGGAGGAAGGCTTTGGGGACGAGGGTTCTCATTCCAGAACCTCTCCTCAATATCCTCGTCACAGCTGGGACTATCCACATCTCCGAACCCACTAGGAGGGACCAAGTCGGTAAGAGGCTCAGCATGTGTTTCGACATTGTCTGTGGGGTCCATTGTCTCATCTGGCCATGTCTCAGGTTCGCTATCTGGAAGGTTTACCGGCATCTCAGGGCCGAGAGTATCGCCTGGGCCACTGCCACTGTCGGTAGACAGGTAGGGCTCAACATGCTCATCGTCATCAGCTACACCCAGCTCTGGGCTCATCCTGATAAGTCCATCGAGTGCGCTTAGCTCGTTTCTAACTTGAGAATCATCTTCGGGGTCTATGCCGTTGGTTCCTGAGGCCAGAGTGGCAGAACCGGGGGGGGAAGGCGGAAAGAAGAATACTCCGCGGTACTCGGTGCAGCTTGGGAGTCTGGACGTTTTAGGTTTGCTAGCAGATAGTGCGGCGATGCACGCCATAGATTGACATGAGGAAACGGTCCGTTCACGATCGTATCACGGCATTTGAGTAACGACTTTAGGCGGAGTTGCCATCGATATTTAAACAGGGCTGGGATCGAGGACAAATCAGCGCATTGGTAATGTGGAATTTGTAGGACATACGATGAATATCGTCCGTGATCCGAATCAACAAGTCTACCGATTGGACAATCCAGGTGCGCGCGTTAAGTTCCTCTCGAGCGAGCCTAAGCTTTTCCTCCTCAATACGAGCAAGCGATAGCACCGCTACTATGCCATGGCGAACCTGTTGGTCGACGATAAAAGCTGGTGGTTTCTCATCCAAGTTCCAGTTGGAATCCCACAGGCTCTCCCACATCTTTGTCCACTGTTCATCACTGGGATCCATGTTAAGCAGCTCCTTGACATTCATTTTGGCGTGTTTCAAAGAGTCCGGGAGCCAGGATGGCCTAACAGAACGCTCGAGGCAGTCGACAAGCTCGTTATATTGCGCAACATGGGCGGAAATAATACGGGCACGGTCGTTTGCGCTATTGAACACTGAGACCATTTTCGAATATCCTCAAAGTACCGGATGAATTTTCGAGCACATCAGAATTCGCCTCAAATGGGGTATGCTTACCGACTTTTGTAACCAGCCGTCCTCCACGCCGTTGTGAGCTCCGAATAGGGTTAATCTCGTCCTGGTACTTGGCTAAGCGGATAAGGATGGCATGTTTGCGGAATCGGGCCAGAATGTACTTCTCCATGTAGTCCCTTTCTGTGCTAGACGGATTTTGCGGAAGTTTCAAATCGGACAGGCCAATTTGAGCTGTCAGATCGTGTAGGCATTCTTGAGATTTATCATGCAACGATCATACACGCTGAGCGGCTTGGAAATGCTCCGTGAGGTCGATAGGACTATGGGACAGTGTTCGTGCCAAGCTGATTCGGTCCAGCTCCTTCTTTACGGCGTCCAATGCGTCCGAATGTGCCTGGGCTGATCGTTCGGCTTCCAAAAGTTTGGCGAACTTTTTCATTCCGGCTTGATCATTGTCTAGGGCATAACAGCATAAGTCAACGCCGAACATGAGATCGGGAATGGGCATACAGGCTCGAACGGAGAGCTGCAAAGACTTTTGCTCTTCCCACTGGGATTGAAGGAAAGGAGTTGTGAATCCCCTCTTACTCTTCAAATCTTGCAGGAGGTCGGTTAGAAGCGCCTCCTCACGAACAATGGCGGCCAATTTGGACCTAGCCAATGAAGCAAGGCGGTCTCGGCCACGGCACGCGATCATCTTGATTTTGTTGTCGATAGTTGTGATTCGTTTTGCCGGCTATAGTTTTGGGACAACATTGCATAAGAGAGGGTTGTCGACCGAACAGTGTTGGGACTCACACTCATTATGCGTTCAGGCGCAATTGTATCAACAATCAAGGACCATAATCGCTCATTTCCTTCCCCGTTTGACTTTCCGAACCCATTTCGTTTCCAGGGGTGAAATGCGATTTGACAACAGAATTGATGTGCGTAGGCATGGAAGACTGAAACGGCGATGCTCAATCTAGGAGCGATTTCAGGGATAAGATTGTACTTTGTTCAAATATCAGAGGTTGTAGTTGCAGACCATGCGAGGCCATACCTTGGCGATCGATCGATCAAGAACACACCCAACATCATACATTAATCCAATAGTGGCATTTGAGGGTAGTTGGCGGCTAAGTGCAAGGAGCATGGCAATCGAAAAGTGCTGCTGTTCACCCGGAGTGCGTACATCGCAGAGGAAAAGGGGGATGTCATGACGGCATACGGTTGCCATCAGGCCCTTCGAACAGAAGGTATCCGTTTTTGAGGCTGACTGCTTTCCACGTTTCGTGGCTCTGTGTGATTCTTCGCATTCATCAATAGCACCATCTGGTACAAGGGATGAGGGACGAGATACTTCCGAACAGCCTCTAGATGCAGCTCGTGCATCAGAGATATGGCGGGCAGCTTCCTCGATTTCGGCATCGGTGAGGAATGTGCAAGTTTCATTCCAGGGAAGAATCATCTCTCCTCCAACGAACATGTATTGCTTATGTTGCATATTACCATCCATGGCGACGATGACATCAGGATATCTAGGGAATCGCTTAGTATACCTGTTCCCGAAGCATATGTATGAGAGGACTAACTCGTTGGCTGAGTTGCCCCACATCGAGCCTCCAAAACATTGCGGGCATCTCGCGCGGAGGTATGGACTTGCGCTGCTGTCGGACGGGTTGCGAATCAGCTTTGTTCGCTCATGGACCATCGATGGAAGGTCCGGTGACGTCCCTATGGAGGTTGGGATGCCGTGGTTAACGGTCATCACGCCATGGGATGCAGTGACCGATGGATCGCCGTTGTGGGCAGGAGCGACATGGGTAAACGCAGCGGACTCGACCGGCGCGGAACGACATAGCGGTGCATCGGGTGCCACAGGGGATGTGGGTAGGAGAAACTCTCTCTCCGTTTCAACCTCTACCGAGTCACGTAGGGCTTGAAACCATGTTATCGCCTCGCTAAACGACTGCAGAAAGGGGTCCTATATGCGCGCCGGATCATGAAGGTGCCAATTCCCGACATGCAACAAATAGATCTTACGTTGTGGGTGAATTCGTAACCGTTCTCTCGTAACATGGCAAACAAAGCGGCATGAAAGGAGGCAATCGGGGTGTACGAGTCCACATGCAAAGCTGAATACAGCGAAAGGACGTCGAAATGAAAGGCAACTTGGGGCGTTACAGGTGACCCTGGAAAGTAGCCAGACTGGATGATGCTAAGCGGGAGAGTATTGGACGGACATTTGCAATATTCGAACGTCCGCCACGTGGCACCTGGCTCGGGGTCATTGGGACACTGCTAAGGGAGGTCAGAATGCAAACGTACCTGAGAATGCGATCGTCATGAGTGAATGAAACTGGAAAGATGTATTGCAGTGGGAGCACAGCGATGCTGTCAGGGCACAGCCCCTGACCCCACACACCCTCAGGTACCCTTCCCCCATTTTCTCCTATTTTTCCCTTCACTGTTCCACAATCCCGCATGCATGCAGACCGTGGGAACGTTCTGGGCGAGTTACTCGCCCAGAAACCATCACAGCCACAACCGTGGGAACTTTCTGGGCGAGCTGCTCGCCCAGAATCTTCCCACGGGGGGGTGCCAATTATGGAAAGTCGGCAAAGAGCCGAAAACTGTATAGTTCCCGGCTCCCATTTGTAGCGGCTTCACAGGAGGTTGAGAAGGTTACCCTTCTTCTCAACTCATTTCCTGTGAAGGCAAGTGTAACTAAGCTACTTCCTAAATGCGTAGCAACTCATTTCCTGTGAAGGCTGGGGCTAGCCCCCTCAGTGAGTTTGAAGACCTCGGACTGGGACTAGATACCCCAGCGACTCGGAGGATCCCCTTGGGCCCGTCACGGAAAGAGGGCCGGGCCCTGACAGATGCTGCTGGTGTTTGCAGTTTTCCGTTTCTATCATACGACGTCTCGCTGGGGGCGGCAAGGGGCACGCGTCCTGCCTTCTTTGCCTCTAGACCTAGATAGATTTCCACCGCTTTGTGTATTACATCGCGGCGCCAATGGAGCCATGCAACTTGCTTTTGCAGATTTCGTAATGCTCTCTTGGCCCGCTTTCGGGAAGCTGACCCCAACAGTGTAGGGGACAGAGCAGTGTCTGGGCCCGAAGGAGTGGGCTCTGCGATATTTTCCAGCCAACCCTGAGGGGATGCTTCCCATATTGGTGATTCCTTTTTTAGAGCTGGCGTTGAAGGGGGAGTCGAAACATCGCTGGCATCCGCCGACATTGCATTTCCTACGTGATCGTGGCGATTTGGCACCTGCCACCAATGCGTAGGCTCAATGCCAGGCCCCCAGCGTTGCGTCATCACGGTGCCGCTGGCGTTTGCTATCTCAACGCGTCGTGACGGCTGGGAAATAGGGACTTCAGCGGCTGGGACGTGCTTATGTCCTTTCTTTTTGGACGTTGAGGGTTCGGATTCAGGTGCAGATTGGGGGCCAAGGAAATCGGCATATTTTTTAGGTCTTTTTAAATTATACAGCTGATATTTTTTCACAGGCGAAGTAGTAAGGGGTGGAATTACAGGCTTATGCCTCGGCATGGGAGTAGCTGCTAAAGAAACTAATGGGTTCGGGTCAAAGGAGCAGAACGGGATAGGTCTCCCCCAACAAGTGTGGGTATATCGGCCGAGTTACGCCGGTAGCCGACCTGTAAGAGAGACATGCACTCAGCTGCATATTCATGTGTGTAGCTGTAGTACATACCAATAGGAACGGACACCAAACGGGGCAATTTGCGGCGAAGAAGGGCGATTACTGGTGCTCGCTCGGCGCTGAGGAATATATGTATAGCACGGGCACTGGTCTTATAAAGGTCTTTGGGTATTGGATATTCAGTGGCAGGCAGTGGCGAGGGCACACGTCGGGTTGAAGTCCCAGCCCAACTGTGCCGTTTCTGACGTCGCTTTAGTGCCGATTGAGGGGTGCGTAGTTGCTGGACAGCGGATATGAATACGGTCCCACTGATACGGATTGGACAAGAGGATAGTGCGCGATACGAGAGTGTAGAGGATCGTGGCGAACACCCAACAATTCTGAGATCTTTTGCACCCGTTCGATGACAAAAGACGACGCACACAGCGTTTGTCACCGTTTTAGGGATGTATGAGCGCAGACGGCGAGATCTGAGGGTCAGTGCGCAAGCAAGCAGGGAGGGGAATTGCGTGTCGGTGCGTAATGCAATACACCGTTTGGGTAAGATGATTTGATGGGGGCCTAGGAAGGTGTATGTATGACACGAAATCGGAGTGGGAGATCGGCTTTTGCAGCGGGTGGCCCAGACGAACCAAACAACTGCGAGTACCAGGGGTGCGTGATTGCTGGACAGCGGATAGCGAATATGAATACGGTCCCACTGATATGGATTGGACAAGAGGATAGCGCGTGGTGTAGAGGATCGTGGCGGATACTCAACAATTCTGAGATCTTTTGCACCCGTTTGACGCCCGTTCGATGACAGAAGACGACGCACAGAGCATTTGTCGCCGTTTTAGGGATGTATGAGCGCAGACAGCGAGATCTGAGGGTCAGTGCGCAAGCAAGCAGGGAGGGGAATCGCGTGTCGGTGCGTAATGCAATACACCGTTTGGGTAAGATGTTCTGATGGGGGCCTAGGAAGGTGTGTGTATGATATGACTGGACAGCGGACAGCGAATATGAATACGGTCCCACTGATACGGATTGGACAAGGGGATAGCGCGTAATACGAGGGTGTAGAGGATCGTGGCGAACACCCAACGGTTCTGCTCGCTGAGATCTTTTGCACCCGTTCGATAACAAAAGACGACACACAGAGCGTTTTAGGGTGTATAAGCGCAAACAGCGAGATCTGAGGGTCGGTGTGCAAGCAAGCAGGGAGGGGAATTGCGTGTCGGTGCGACCGTTTGGGTGAAAGATTTTGATGGGGGCCTAGGAAGGTGTATAGCTGTCGATGTATGGCACGAAATCGGAGCGGGGGATCGGTTTTTGCGGCAGGTGGCCCAGACGAACCAAACAACCGCAAGTACCAGCGGTGCTAGGTGCAACCTCCGGCCCTCTGCAGGTGTCTCCACGGACAAGCCCCAAATCCTTGTGCAGAATATACAGAACGGCCTGGAGAAACCGTTACTCTACGTAGACGGTGTACTCAGAGGGCTGGGTTGATTGGGGGGATCCCTGTCGTTAACCGTGGTGCACTAGCAACGCGCTAAGCGCTGAAGGAGGAGAACAGAAATCCTATAAAAGGCTGTTCTTTCTTCTGATACTTATATGTTAGTATTGGTACTTTAACTCAACCACTGTAGCGTTTTGGTTGCTTTGTGTATTGATATTTGTATGTGTTACTGATTATTTGTGTGTGTATGAAACTCTCAGGGTTCAATTCACTTGTCTACCTGATTGTTCCACACGAAAATCACGCTATAGACCTACTATTTTCAGTTGTTTCACCTCTGTCTTGTCACTTTTAACTCGGAGCGACTCCAACCGACTTGACTTGACGTCACTATTTCTTAACTTCTTCTTAACTTTTTACTGAGGGTTGATCACTTTTACTCAGATGTGATCTGAACTGCACACTTATACTAATAAAACTTAATTTTTATTAGGACGCCTTATGACCTATGAGCCAGAGCACGTAGGGGAGAGGAGTAAAGAAGGAAGAGGGGTCAGACCAGAAAATGTGGTCTTTTATACCTTTCCTAAGGGCTCTGTTTTCACATGTCACTTTACTATTTACATTGCTGAGTAATCTTATATTGAGCTTAGCAATCCTCTTATGTAAGCGATCAGCATCCCATTCTGCTTCTAGAACTTTCTGGAAGTTTTGGCGTGGGAATTAGCCAATTGCATTGCCTAACACCCATCATGACCTTGTTTACCCTTGTTTACTCACTTTATTCTAAGTCACATGTCATGGGGTTATTTGTTAGCTTAAGGGTGTAGCTTTCCGTCGGTATAAACAACAGTAAACTACGAGGATTATTTATGAAGATATGAATTTTTCAAGATTTAATTTTGAGGTTCTCCAGATTGCTTTGGCATTAGCTCATCCATTTTCTTACAATTAATTCTGGATAAATTATGCCTCGTTCCTGGACTCGAACTCTTTAGTTTCGCATTTCCAGCTCATCCGTTTTAACCACAAACTCAGGATGTTTGAGCCAGTCTTCTCTGCAAGTGTGTTTTAATCTTGTTAAATCCGTTTCTCCCTCAATTCTTCAGATTTTAACATGAAATCTTTTCGAACACAGACCTATACTTCAACTCTTTAAGACCGACAAAGATTCATATTTTTCCCTATTTTCCTCATATAAATATTTCCAATTCTTTCATCTTTTCCTCGTACCCGACCATTTTTCATTATATGAATGCCTTGATTTCCTTCCGATTTCTCTTTGTCATTCGTTTCGTACGTTCGTAAAACTATTTTCCCACGTTACTACGAATTTCTAATATTTTATTTGATACAGGAAACCTTGTTTTTTGTTTTCATGTGAGTTTATTTGCTGTTTTTCTTCATTTTCTGAACCATCTTTTAATCCCTAGACTTGAAAGTTCGCGTAGATACTCAATTCATCGACTCTGTTCTTCATTATTTTTCCGATATTTTATTTCAATTCATTTTGTTGAGTTATGATTTTATTCCTATTTTTGTTTCTGGTCCGTGGAGGTTGTATGATTCTTATCCAATTTTTTTGTGATGGTTTCTGGTTGTTTTAGTGTTGTAACTTTTATATTCCTACAGCGCCTCCAGTGGATTTCAGTTAAATACAAAGAGTGGTCCTTTTTAATGATATCTATAACGAGATTGGAGGCAAACGTAGTGCGTTCTGTTAGGTGCAGGGCTGGGAATGATGCCAACGACGGATTTCGAGCTTACCGAATATGCCACTTATGGCAATAAATAAGAAGTAGAACACCCAAGGAATAGAGGATGGGTCTGTAGTGCAACGTACGGTTATCCTGATGTTGAGGACGTCGATCGACGCGCCTTACCTACAACGACGTTCACGGTTTGTGAATGAAACGGCTGGCCCGGCTTTGGCCGAGAGCCCGTTTCGGGGACATGCATACCCCACGATTGAATTGGTTCTCACGGGGATGAAGGTGGTCAAACGGGTCAATATTTAGTGAAATGTTTCCTTGTGTTTCTGTTTCTAATCGACGACGCTAAAAAGATCGCGCTCGAAGCTGATATGTAGCGTTTAATTGGTATAGGGTACTTTCTGACATCACGTGATCTACGCAGCACCCAAAAGTAGCACTTGACGGCTTGCCGATCTCCCCAGGCCTTCTTGGCCGCATCAGCCCCACCTGTTTGAACATCTTGTTTCGATCTGACGAGGCTCCGTCTTGGTCGCCCTTTGATCGCCATGCCACAGTCGCCAATGGTGAGGATTACATCCCGAAAGGTTTCCGGCATCGAATTAATGTAAACAATAGATATGGATTCCACGCAAGAAGACTGAGGAGGTTGACTGGACGACGCCGGTTCGCACCGTTATTACGAACTCATATGGGGAAAGCCCCGACTCGTATGCCGCAGAGTGCGCCCAGCTTCAACGCTTTCGCCAGGATGCTGTGAGAGGTGCTGGCTCCGATCTGACGGCCCGCGATCTCCTTTACAAATACTTTGGTCAACTTGAGTTTCTCGAATTGCGTTTCTCTGAGATCAAAGTCCCCTTTCCTTGGCAAGATGCCTTCACCAACAAGCTAACCACCCAAACTTCCCTCGCTTTCGAAAAAGCCAGCATCATATTCCAGATGGGTGCGACGCATTCGACTATTGCAGCAGCACAGATGCGGTCGGATCCCGAGGGCCAGAAGCGCGCATTCCATTACTTTCGCTGCGCCGCAGGCATGCTCACCTATATAAACGAGAATTTCCTGCACGCTCCCAGCACCGATATGAGCAAAGAGGTTGTTAAATATTTGGTCGGCATAATGATGGCTCAGGCGACGGAGATTTTCTTGGAGAGAGTTATTAACGAAAAGAAGGGAAATGCGTTGATAAGCAAGGTCGCATCACAGACGGCGTCCTTGTATGCTGGGTTGACAGAAGAAGTCAAAGATTTTTATGGAAAGGGAATCATCGACCGCAATTGGGTAAATTTAATTCAGGTGGGTCGATCCAAATCTTCTGTTTGACAACTCGTCAAAAAAGTCACGCATCGGTTCTCTCAGATAAAAGCCACATACTTTTCCGCCCTGACCCATTACCACCGGCATCTCGTCGATGATGCCGCGTCCAAACATGGGGATGCCCTTTCGCGAATCCAGTTAGCTGAATCCCAAGCTAAGGAGGCACATAAGACTTGTGTATCAGCATTTACACCCTATTACCTCTCAATGAGCACACAATCATCCGGAAGTATGTTCATGGACATCAAGTGGTCTTCGTATCCCACTCTTCCACCCGATGCATCCTCCGCTCTGACGGAGATTGCACAAGCCTTAAGCATTCTCACCAGCTCTACACTCAAAGAGTACTCACGAACAAATGACCTCATTTACAATGCAGTCCCGACACCAGCGGCTAACCTTCCTGCTGTCGAAAAGCTGGTTGTGGCACGTCCCATTAGTATACAGGAACTTTATAATGGGTCAACAGCGGGCGCCGCTCCAAGTTCCAAACAAGGGCCCTCCGCAGCCGCCCCCTCCCCGTCGGAGATGCAGCGAGTAATAGGCCCCGATCTCTTCGCGAGACTTATTCCGATGGCAGTTCACCGTTCCGCATCGATATACTCTGAGGAGAAGGCGAAAGTCGTGCGCGCAGAAGCTGAGAGATCCGAAATTGCAGACGCTGCCGCTTCAGAGGCTTTAGGAAAACTCGGACTCCCGGGAGATCTGAACAGATGGAAGGAGATTATTGATGCTGAAGAAGGCGGTAGTGAAGACGACGACGGAATCGCCTCGGGCTTCCCTCAGGAATTGAAAGTTTGGGGAGACGACATCCGCCGTGTGGGGGGGTTAGCTGGATTCAAAAAGTCTCTGAGAGGGCTCGAGGATCTGAGAGCGAAAACTGCTGAAGAACTTGATGCGACCCGAAACGAGTTGGACGAAGAATCCCGGGAGTGCGAGATTATGAGGGTATGTTATTTAATTTGGAGTTCTTCATCAATTTGCTTATAGATCTCCTGTCAGGTCAAGTACGAACACGAGTTTACACAGGCCCCGTCCGCTCCGCTCACCCGCGAACTCCGTGCCGACTTTAAGACACGTTCGGAGACTTTCACTGCAGCGGCTGCTTCCGATAGTCAGATCACCAGCCTCCTGAGCGAATTTGAAGACGACATTGACCTCCTCCAGAAGGGGGTTCCATCGTTACTTGCCGTGTGGAAGCAGGCCACGGGTTCAAACGAGCCACAGCCGGGTTTAGACAGTTTACTGGACCTTGACGAGGGCGGTATGGGAGGACAGGGCGAGAAGGAAAAGGTCCTGAACGAGATTAAGTCCAGTGTACGAGAGATCGGGGAAAAGCTTGGCACTTTGAACAAGATCAAAAGGGAAAGAGGAGTCGTACTAAAGGATTTGAAAGAAAGAGTAACTGATTTCTTTTTTTCCTCTCACGGGCCATCTAACTCGCGCAATCACAACCCTAGGTGCAGAATGACGACGTTTCTCACGTTCTCATTCTCCATTCCAGGTCCCCAAATCCATCCGCAATAGAACCAACTATCTTCGCAAACGAACTCGAGAAATTCCGTCCTTATCAAGCTAAACTAACTACACTGATTCAGCAGCAAGAAGCCTTGTTGGACGAAACTGCTGCACTATGGAAGGCTCTAACAAAAGGCAAGGGTCGATCATGGGTGAAAGGCGCGGAAGAGAAAGAGAAAAAGAAAGCGGAAGTCCTTGGTCGGTTTGCAACGGCCTACGACGCGTGGCTAACAATCAGCCATGGGCTAGAGTGAGTAACGCTATTCTGATATGTGAGAATACAAACCTTACTTCGCACTTCTAGGAAAGGGACTCAATACTACAAGCAGCTAGGAGAATTGGTCAGTGAACTCTACCAGAAGATCCGTGAGTTCGTTCGACCGAGAACGAGGGAACGAGAAACTATTGTGGCTCGAATCGAAACTAAGCGTCGCCTGAAATCTCCGCCGCCATCTTCGTCTGCGCCTCCACTGGTTCCTGAGAAACCTCGCGTGCCTCCTCCACCTGGCCCAGCGGGACAGGCACCAATCCTATCGGGTTTATCCTCATCTTTCTCGGGATTGGGCCTGTCGTCCCCTGCACCCCCACGTCCGCCAGCGTCTGCTCCTGAACGACGACAAAACATCCCCACTACGAGTACATATTCTTCTCCCCCTCAGGCTCATTACACTAGCCCAATACTTCCCCCGCCACCAACTCCCTACAATCAACCAAACGCATCGCCACCGTCGCTTGACCCATATGCCGACTTGTTCAACACACCTGGAATTTCCTCCGCCTTCTCGCTAAATACCTCGTCAAATTCGCAACAACTCTTTATTCCACCTCCACCGCTACCTCCAACTAGTCATTCTTCACCTCCTTCACAACAGACTTCTGGCTACTACAGCGGCTCCTACCCAGCTTTTCCGCCTCCCCCTTCCCGACCACCTGCTCAATATGGACAATATGGTCTACCTCCCCCACTACCTCCTCCCCCTCCCAGTATCTCGCCGCCTAGTCAATACTCTCAATATCCGCCACCTCTAGCACTCCAGCAGGCTCAGCCTCAATTGCATAGTAACCAAAAAGAAGTTTACTCGAGTCCGGGAAAGAATCCGGCGCCAACCAGGCCCACAAGCCCGCCACAATGGTATGGACAGGACCATGGCCAACAAGGATATGGACGATAAAATGGCATTCTAGGACTGGTTCCCCGCTAGCGCCGGAGCACCACACATATCTGTCGCAAAATATCATACTTTTTGTGTTGTTAATTGTGTATCTGACCTAACGTAGTTGATTCAATTAACGCTGTGATGTAGGAAACCGACGAGACGAGTCATCACTTGAAGCAGAGAAGCCCTATTAGTATGCGTGTCGCTTCCTTGTCAGGCTGAGCGACTAATGTAATGTTATGCGCTGTGTTAGAATATCAAATAGGGAAATGTGTAGTGACGAAGAATAATGTGTGGCGGGGGCTTTGATGAAGCAGGAGGGCTTTGATAAAGCTTTGATCATCCTAATCTCTTTTGTACAACAACCTCACCACTGGGTGATGATTGCATATAAAGAAACAGATTTTTTTTTTGGAACTGCCTCCCTCATTTATTCGAGTCTGAGCTAACGCTGCATGGCGCCCAGACATGGCCGCTACCACTTCAAACGATACTGGTTCCAAAAGTCTTTACAGCACTGAAAAGGATTCAACTATAATATGTGGGTTAAATGGTTCTCATGGATCGAGGACTTTGGGAAGCTATCGATCCCAAGTCAAAGACCTCTGATCGTCCTTCTCCTCTCTTCCTCTTCCTTATCACCCAACGCTTCGTCCTCTGGCCGCAACATCACCTGATCCTGCTGTCATAGATGCTCCCCTTCTGCGTATAGGACAGGAAGAACGACACTGCATTAACACAAATTGGACTTACCGTCGAAGATACGCCTCTTGCCATCGTCGAACTCGCAAAAGTAGCACGGCTAGAACTGGTGAGACGATATAATGGTGTTAGTGCACTAGATGCCGCGAGATTGATGATGCAGCTTCACCATTATCAACTGGACGACTTCAAACCCTTGGAGCCTCAACTGATCCAGATGCGTGAACTACGTGATCGTTTGGCAACCCATGGAGACACTTACACTGATGGCAAATTTGCCATGATAGTGTCGGAAGCGCTACCAGAGCCGTGCGATACGCTCAAGGCGATAACTTTAGCGGACCTCGACGATGCATCAACGATAGCCTGCGACAAGCTCATAGCCCAAATCCTCATGCAGAGAGGAGGGGCATACTTTCAAACAGTGCATGTTGGGCTGAAGGGAGGTCAGAAGGATTTTAAATATAAGGCTATAGCGCGTAAGTGTCTCAGACTCGTGTTAGAGATCTGGAATTTGTATGTACCTATGGCGCGTAAGTGTCTGCGCCAACAGTTAGACAGTTTTGTAAAGAATAATACAATCTATCTCACCTCAGACTCGTGTTAGAGATCTGAGGGAGAGGGAGTCCAAAAAACTCCCTTCTTATACGCGAACTACACCAGTGGCGAGCCCGTCGCATAAAGAAGAAAAAATGGGGGTGTAAAGTTCAACCCCCAAACCTCACTTCCGCCACCAACAATCAACCCCGTCCTCGCCACTCCGTCGTCGGAACCGATTGTTGATATTCCAACAAAGGACAGCGCCCGGCCAAGTCTCAGAGCTCTCCGAAGAGCGCCAAGAAAAAGGAATTCAAAACATATGTTCTTCTGACGGAAGAATACACTTTTCGGAGAGGGATCAATGACTGAATGGGTCGTAGATTCTGGGTACGAGTACGCCACCAATTCAAGTGTCATTTGACATCGTCACGGAATTCTTTTCAAAGGCTCTTGGAGCGTTAAGTGGATACGCACGAGCAGCTGGACAGGGGTGGTGACAGGGGTCACTCAGATGACCCCAGCAATGATACCTTGGAGGTGCCCGAAAAACCAGGTGAGAATGGCTTGACCAACAGTGAATTCCTTAATTCAGAAGGTGAAAGATTTTGAACCAATGCTCGTCAGAGGGCACGAGCACAATCATGCTAATGATGTTCGGAGCGCACCGTAGGTAGCTATATTATCATGAGGATCATATATAATGCTGCCGAATCGCATACGCGCCTTATTCAGCTCGGTCTCATCTTGCTATTTTTTGTTGCTTGATTTCCTGCTCCATTTCTTCGTTCTCTGCTCTGTTTTTGTTCCGTTCCCTACTTCGTTTCATCCCTTTCGTGCATGTGAAAACTGTAAGTAAATTCGGTCGCATGTGCTCGAGATCCATTGACCAACGATTTCTTCCCGCCAGACCACCCAATCAGCCGGGTTGAGAATCTTTCGGCTCGTGAGAGCCTTGGGTAAGGCTCGAGCGGACGCTGAATGTGAAGTCGCACCGGGCGATGATGTTCAACGAATTTATAATTTTAAGTTTACTCAACGACACGGAGTGTAAGCACACAGTGCCTGAAACGGGGTAACCACCGTTAGGAATGGTATCGAAAACAGAAAGGCAATGATCGAAGACGCAAAACAAAAAGAACATATCGAGTGCCTTTTGGGGGCAAGGGAGTAATGAGGGTTATCTGGAGATGGATGCTTAGCCACGGAACTTCCCAACAGGGGGGGATGCCGCAGCCGCAGCTAGAACCACCAGTCTCCGGGGTGTTGGAGGCACTCCTCCCAACGGTGAAAGACAGATTGTGACAAGGGAGGGTGCAACAAAACCCGTGGAACAACTTTCTGGTACCAATCCGCCCTGTGACCCAAGATATCGCTGGTAATCTCCAGACAACGAAGCGTGGTCAAACACGCACCGACGGCGGAAGACAGAGCGCCAGGTAAAAGGGGGAGCACAGTGGGTTCATCAACTGCATGATCTCGATAGTGTAGGACTGTGAGTTTTCCCAAGGGAAAGATGCGTGACACACATGGTCCAGCATTGAGAGGGCGGACATCCCACATGTCGGAGACGCGCCGAAGCATGCGCAAGATGTAGGCGCTAGTCCCTGCAAGGAACAAGTGGTTTAATTCAGTGCTTCTCTTAAGAGACTAGGAAGGAAACGAGTAACGTTAGATGGAGCCACAGTGACAACCTGTAATTGCTTCTGCTTACTCGTGCGATGTTCCTAGTGTGGCAGGAATCGCTTGGGAAGTGGAGGCTGGTGGAGGGGAAGATGAGGCGGCAAGAGCGTAAGGCAGGAAAAACGGTAAACCGAAAGAAGCGATCGATGAATGTTTCCGAGCACGAATGTATCGCAAGGCTTTGGAGGCAATTGAACTCGACTATTAAATCTTCATCTTCACTGAGCCATGGAATGTCGGCCATTGCCACTCTCACAAGCCGCAAGTCCTTCAACCGGTCATAACCTAACGACAAGCAAAAGTGAGGGGACAGATCGCATTGTATAAAAGCCAGTGTTTCTAAGGTGCCACAAAGCTGATCCGTCATCATTTCCCATCCTCCGCAGCAGTTTGTGAAAGTGATATGCTCGAGGCTGGGGTGGAGGCCTGGGTTGGGGATATCAACTAGAAGCTGGTCGCTGCCTCGAATGTGCAGACCCAGCGAGGTAGGCCTAGCTAAGAAAGGGTGGGTTAATAGATGGTTCACGGCATTAGACACATGCGAGGCATCGAATGCAAGGTGGAGTTTCCGTAAGGATGACACCACGGAATATCGAAGGGCAACATCAAGACTGGCGGGATTGTGAGCGACCAGCGTCAAGAGTTTCAGGGGTCGGGCACGTTTAATGAACATCCCCAAAAGCTCGGATTCACCCACTATAGGCGAACCGAAGTCAAATTCGGTCCAAAAAGCTTTATGCGACAGGGCGATCGTTCTCCATCGCTTTGAAACTTGAGCGATGCGCATGACGAATCGGGATCGATGTGGCATCCCAGGAGGGGCGATGATAGTGAATATGTGCTCAAGTATCTCCACGGGAAGGGCGGAGGCTCCAGCACAAGCGGTGCGGATGTCGTTCATTTGAACACAAATATGAGCAATTCGCTGGTCCATCGCTTCTCTGAATGCGAGGAGCAGGGAAAGTTCTGAAGCTTTTGTCTTGAGTGCTTCGTTGTATCCCTCCCGTTGGGATATTCGAGCTGAAGGATGATAAGTGAGAAGGAGGGGCTTCGCTGTGCTGGAGCAACACCCCGAGAAATGTGCATTTAAGGTGTCGATGGCTTCTGAGATTTGAAGTGTTGACGACATGGCGATGAGGTTCTGTAGCGCGGCTAGACCAGCGTCAAACAAGAGGCCAATTTATACGTGTCCCTGAACGAAAACGGGGAGATCGACGCCCAACAGGTGCAGCACCCATGAGCTGACGCTAGCTGACGGCAAGTTCCAGATAAGTTTCCTTGTAAGTAACATAATGACTTCTGGGTTGTTGTTATGAGCTCAACCCGGCGGCGGCGGATACTCGATGTCGGGCAAAGGGACAAGCACGGGGGGAAGCTGGGCGACCAGGGTATTTCGGTTCAGTTCATTTACAGTATTTATACGTGTCAACTTGCAAATAATATGTAAATAGGAATCGAACGATGTTACCATAGGGACTGCCCTCGGCTTCCTGGGACCAACCCACGGCACCGCACACTTGAACACGATCCACACGAATAGTCCTTTGCGGTCTTGTCGCGATCCACATACCCACATTTGCTGCGATATATGTATTGCATTAACAGATCACCTACCACCGGATTTAAGTGGGTAATTTGGCACCACCGGCCAACCGCAGGACGAGAAAACCAAAAACAGCAAAGCAAAGTCTAAAGAACAAGTGGTAGAGCGCTCGGAGGTATGCGTAGTGATTCTTACGCGCTTGATCTGTCCAACGGTGAATCGCATCATCCAACTGCCGTCTGGGTAGTAGTCCATGCTAACGAAAAAGTGGTCGGCGTCAACGTGAACGGAGTCCAACGTGAGTAACATACAAGTTTTGGATTTCTTCGGGGCAAGTGTCCTTCTCGATGGGACACCCAGATGTAGATGTGTACTCAGGTGGAGTGTCATCCACAATGTCGCCAACTCCAGTGCGGGTCCCTGGAAGGTGCGAAGAAGACCGATCCAATCTAGTAGGGGGCGGATTTACTTAAGACTAGTTCCATAAACAAGCGGGCGGCCCAAAGAATAAGCGCAGTTGTATGCCTCACTTCCGGGAAGTACGACGATGCCATCGAGTAAGGGATAATCCCCCTGTCAGTGAGCCAACATAACCCCTCTGAGACAACATTGATGAGCGCAGGAAATCACGTGTGTGACAGATATTGATTCGCTCCTCACGCTGTGCGAATTACGGCCTGCTTGCTTTGCAGACACTCTCCGTAGGAATTTCTATTGAAGCGAGAGTTACAGGGCGCATGCAAAGGTATACCCACCCATCAGTATTTTGGTGACATAATTTACAGGACCCGCAAAGCGGTACGCATAGCTAGATGCTGCGTAAGTAGTCGAGGTTCAATCTGCGTTGATGGTCGCTGTAGTGATATGTCCCAAAGCCTCTGTTTCTGAAATCAAATGATGCACGCTGAGTTATGGTGTCCCCAATCTGAATAGTGTGCTAGTGAACATAGATAATCTTTGGACAGCATTTCTTGTCGCTCCGGTCCTCTTCCTCTCCCACAAGCTTCCTCCAAAGCTAGAAAATTCTGCTGGAGTTCGGCAGGGCTTAGATGGCTACCACATACGGGACCAGTATTGTTGGAGGACGCAGCGAAGGCGGGAAGGCCGAAGGGCGCCATAAAACCAGCAAGGGTAGAGGATCGCATGTCTACAATGCAAGCAGGTGAATGGGCCACTTCTTGGAGGGGAAAAGGGTGGCATGTCCCCCGGGTTCTCGGGATGGGAGATGCTCAGCATGACAGGAAAACACCATTATGGGTTTCTCTCGAAAGTTAACAAGACTACTAGAGCCAAGGGAATAAGTGTATTAAGCCGCGCCCAAAAGGCACCGCTTTGCCAGGGTGGGAGATGGGGAGTATCCACTCGGTGTGCCATATCAGGCGGCACCAGTCCAAGGCTCAGTAGCCTAACCCGAGCCAGGGCACAACCTGACGCGTTGTGCACTGTCCGAATGGATCTTTGGCGTTTTCGCGAGCACTTTCATGCGTTATGAGTCTGTGCCCGGGCGGTAGTACTGGTGCCCTGGATATACGTCAGCTCAGTGCGTTCGTTCGTTAGGTATTCAATCGAATTGACGTACCTGTGGTAGTATGTTTGCTCGATATCTCCATTAAATATTCCTTTGGGCTTCGGTACGGCTGGTAACTACAGAGACCGAGTGGTAGTGCAATGGCAAGGCGATTGCATTACCCCCATGCCATGATCCTTTTGTGATGTTTCACACGTTCGGATGGTTCATGACCCAAATGGCAATTATTATGACTGGTGAACACCGATAGGGATCATATCCTTACACAGGAGCTTGCAGCCATATTGACTGTCCTATTAAACGTCTGCATTTCCGTGGCTCCCACAGAAGCGTTGTCCAAATAGTCGCAGCCTAATCCACTCTGTGGAATGAGGGGGACAATAATTGGAACCGTAAGTTGAAGAAGTCTCCACCGAATGTGAAGTCGCACTGACAGTGTCGGCTATCATAGAGGCTGGAGTCCTGCCTAAATGCCGGCCACGATGATCATCTCCGTTCAATGAATTGATAGTTTACTTAATTACACTGCGCCTGAAACGAGGCAGTTGGTTGAACTACTGTGAGGAATGTTATCGAAACAGGAAGGCAATAATCAAAGACGTTAACAAAACGGGGGGAACATGGACATATGATGTGTGCTTCTCGGGGCTGACGCATTACAAGGCGCACTTATGTCGAGACTGAAAATGTGACTACATCACTTTGCATGGGGAATAGGGGGCAGGGGACGATGAATGTCATCGTGGAGGCTGGGACCCTGCCTAATCAGGAGATGGATGTTCAGAGAGAGCAGAATACTGTTGGGGCCACCAGTCTCCTGGATGTCGAAGAGACTCCTCCCAGCCACGAAGGATTGACTCTGACAGAGGAGGATGGAGCAGGACCCGGGGAACAACTTGTTGGTACCAACATGCATTAGAACCCAAGATATCGCTGGTAATCTCCAGACAATAAAGCGTGGGCAAACATGCACTGACAGCGCAAGATAGAGCGTTAGGTATGGACATGAAAATACTCCTCGGTTCGTCAGTCTCATGGTTTCGGTAGTGTAGGACTGTGAGTTTTGCCAAAGGAAACACACACGGTTCATGATCATCCGCATCACCTTCGACGCCGAGCGGGGGCCAGATATCCGACATGTTGTACACATGCCGAAGCATACATAAGATGTAGGCGCTGGTTCCTGCAAGGAGCAAGTGATTTAGTTCAGTGCTTCTCTTAAGAGCCTACGGAGGAATTGAGTAACATCAGTAACATTAGAGGAACTAAACGACAACCGTGACTGTTTCCGCTTACACGTGCAATATCCTCAGTGTAGTTTAACTCGCTCGGAAAATGGCTGGTAGAGGGGGAGATGAGACGACAAGAGCGCAGGGCAGGGAAAGTGATCATCCGAAAGAAGCATTCGATGAAGGCTTCCGAGCACGACTGTATCACGAGGCTGCCGAGGCATCTTAATTCGAATCCTGCGTCTCCACCGGACCGAGGCGTTTCCACTCTCACAAGTCGCAAGTCCCTTAAGTACCCAAACAACGCGATAAAGGGAGGCCAAAAGTCACATTGTGAGAAGGCCAACGACTCTATGCGGCAGTACTGTTCTATTGACACATCCCAAGTTCTGCACTTGGTGAACGTGATGTGCCGGAGGCTGGGGGTCGTGAGGGAAATAATGCTGGGGGCCATGAAGGGACCATCTGTCAGAAGCCGGTCATCGTCCTGGATGTGCAGACCCAGCGAGATAAGCCCTGTCAAGAGAGGGTTCGTTGATAGATGTTGAATAGCATTAGACAGGTGCGAAGCATCGAACGCAACATGGAGTTTCTTCAAGGATGACACTACGGAATATCGAAGGGCAACATCAAGACTGGCAGGGTTGTGAGCAACAAGCGTTAAGAGATTCGAGGGCCGAGCGCGTTTAATGAACGTTCCCAAGAGCTCGGGTTCACCCGCTGTAGGCGAACCGAAGTCGAATTCGGTCCAAAAGGCTTTATGCCACAGGGCGACCGTTCTCCATCGTTTTGAAACTTGGGCGATACGCATCACGAATCGGGATCGATGTGGCACCCCAGGAGGGGCGATGATAGTGAAGATGTACTCAAGAATCTCCACGGGAAGGGCGGAGGCTCCCGCACAAGCGGTGCGGATGTCGTTCATTTGAGCATGAATATAGGCGATTCGTTTATCCACCGCTCCTCTAAGGGAAAGGAGCTGCGAAAGCTCTGAAGCTCTTGCCTTGAGTGCTTCATTGTATCCCTCTCGTTGGGGGATTCGTGCAGAAGGATTATAAGTGAGAAGGAGGGGTTTCGTTGTGCTAGGGTAGCACCCCGAGAGATGTGTATTTAAGATATCGATGGCATCTGAGATCTGAGGTATCGACGGCATGGTTATGAGTTTTGTAGCACTGCAGCGTTAAACAAGGACACCGATGCTGCGGCTCTCTGAATGAAGACGGAGTGGTGACCGATCGCGCGCGCGTGTGGATGTGACTCTGAATATTTAGCCTGGAGACTTCGGGCTGCTCCGGGCTAATCGGAACAGTCAACACCCAGCTGGCGGCAAGTCCCCATATCTCTGCCGAATCAGGTGCCGCATTTGCTCGGTTCGGATTGACTAACTAGCAGAGATGGGATCGGTGCTGTGACGAGCGCTCTCTGGATTGGTTGTGGCGGCGACCAACGGTGCCACGGATATCGATCGATATGACGGAGTTGCAAGATCTGACAATCCACACATTGAGCTGGTATCTGAGTCTTTGACAGCGTGAGTGACTTGTATGGCGTATGATAGCAGGCTGGAAAGGTGCAGCGAGACCCAGCTAGCCCTGAATTCACGAGTCGGCAAACTCTCACCACGCGATAACATAGTATTGCCGACTTGTCCCCTTCCATTGTTGAGCTCGCGTTGCATAAGTATGGTCTGAGCCTGCAGTTTAATCCCAAGTCTTTTGGAAGCTCGTTTTGTGAACAAATCTGGCACCAAAAAAGCTAGAGGAATTCATCCAGAACCCATCACTATCAGGAGTGCCGGTGAACGACGATTTTAAGGGAAAGTCCTATCATGATTCAAATAGAGATAGGGCACATATGTATAATATAGAATTGGTGTTACTGTAGGACGGGAAGAGCAAAAGAGTGAAGTAAAAAAAGGCCAATGTCCAATCACAGAACGAATGGTAGACCAAGCACTTAGCATCAACAAATGCCGCGGAAAATGTGAGTTATCATTCTTGCGCGCTGGATCTGCCCGGCGGTGAATTGCGTCGTACAACTATCATCCGAATAATCCATGCTAACGAAAAAAAGTGGTCACGGTCGATTCAACATAAAAACGGAGTCCTAACACGAGTAACGCACAAGTTGTGGATTGGATCAGGACCTCCCCCGAGGCAAGTATCCTTCCCTGTGGGACAACCGAACGTAGCTGTTCTCTCGGGCGGAGTGTCATTCACGAGGTCGCCAACTCCAGTGCAACCTCCCTGGAACGTATGGAGAAGACCGAGCCAATCTAGCAGGGCGAGGCAGTTCCGAGTCCCAGGTTACTCTACTGAGGAAGCTTGAAAGAGGGGAGGGATTTCACGTACGGCCAGTTTCATGAACAAGTGTACGACCCAGAGAGTAGGCCCCATTGAATGCCTTGCTTCCCGGCAGTGAGTCGAGGATCACGACAATACCATCGAGCTGAGGATCGAAGGAATAATCCCATGGCCAGGCTGCAACCCCCAGGAGGGACTCCCCGTCGCCGGTCACGCTCCTCACGCTGTACACGTTGAGGTCGTGAATACCACCCACTCGAAGGGCGTTCTTCATAGCGATTGCGCGCGCTCTTCCATAGGATTTCCGTTAGTATTGAAGCAAGAGTAACAGAGCGACAGGCAGAGAATCTACTCACTCGCTAATATCACCCAAGTCAAACCACTCTTTCTTGGTGACATGATTCACGGGACCCGCAAGGCGGAACGAATAGCCGGATGCTGCATAGTCAAGGTTCAATCTGTGGATCTGTGCTTTGATGGTCGCTGCGGTGACATGCCCCAAAGCACCCGTTTCTGAGATCAAAGTGCTCAATGAGTACGCATGGGGAGTTAGGGGAGACAAAACGTACTCCCGATCTGAATAGCATGCCAGTGAATATTGATAATTTTTGGACTGCATTTCTCCCCTCCCTCTTCCACAAGGCTCTTCCAAGTCGCTTCATGGCCGGGTAATTCTGCCGCAAGTGATTGGAGTTTGGCAGAGCTTAAGTGGCTACCACATATGTGACGAGTGATGTTCGTGGGTGCAGCAAAGACGGGAAGGCCGAAGAGTGCCATTAGAGCGGCAAGGGTAGACAATCTCATATTTGCGATGCGAGCTGGGGAAGAAGGCACTTCTTGGAGAGGGAAAGGGAAGCACGTCCGCCCGAGCTTTTAAGCTCCTCCTTATCGGGTTAAATACCAACGTCGCTGTGGGGATGCTCGTGACAGGGAAGCATCGCTGTGGGTTGCTCTAGGAACAAGCGCATTAAGCCACACCGCCAAAGAGCACGGCCATTGTCCGATGCTGGGGATCGGTCATGAAAGTGACGCTTTGTCAAGGTTTGAAAAAAAACAGAGCTGTGCGTTAAGTCTGATGGCAGAAGCTGTGATGCGGTGGGTGATGACCCGGCCACGCATCGGGTATCCTTGAAGGACGAGTCCAAGTTGTGAGTCCAAAGGCAACAACGATGTGCCTTCTAAGACCAGTTTGACGCGGTGAGATGATAGCGCCATGCGCCTGCCAGTGGGGACTTGCTCGAGACCCGTAATCCAGGACGCATCGCGTTGCAAAGATTGGCAAAAAGGAACACTGGAAACTTAGATGATGTTTACATAAATAAAGCCAACGCAGTGCCAAGCATATGAGTTTCAGGAGTCTCATCCAGATTAAATCATAAGAGCCATGAGCAACGATCACGTTGTGTAGTCAGCGTCATCTTCGGACACCTGGTGCGGTTGGCCGTGGGCGACCGTGACCCTAGGTGACTGCAACCAAGTGGCACACAGCCTATTTCAGAGCCAAAACACCTTGACCTGACGTGAATTTGAAAGCGTGGGAACAGGTGGAAAGATCCGGTGAGTGCTGACATTGCATTTCCCACTCGTTAGGCATGGGCGATTTGGCACCTGCAGCCCCTAGATGGACCCGACCCAGCGGTTCATCCCCCCGATCCACAGTGGCACGGGATTATCTGCCCGATGCGCCCTTGCAGCTTTTCTTCTTGATTCAGGCTTAGCTGTAAGTTTAGGGGTTGAGGAGACATATGTTTCAGGTTCATTGAAATTATATGAACGTGCAAAATGCAGAAGGCCAAGCTCGCCGGCAATATATTCTACCAATTGAGATCGTTTACGCCTTGCTCAACAACAACAGATGAGACACAGAGCTTGAATTGGTATTTTGGGATGTTCAGCCACAGACGGCAAGATCTTGCGCAGGTAAGGAGCAGGGGTACGTACATATATGTAGTTGGGTGTGCAATGCATTGATCAGGCGAAAAATGTCGATGCATCCCTATCGAGGGTATCGCACCGGATAAGGGTGGGTTTGCAGCGCGCGGCCCAAATGAAGGAAAATGACTACGAAATGGCCAACGTCGCCGAACCCCTTCACTCAGTCGAATTCTCGCTACTCCGTAGCGGGTCCTATCCACGACTCAATTGTCCTATGCACAGGGTCCCTTATCCACCCCATACATTTCCAACTGCCCAATGCACACCTTCTCTCCATTCTCCTCTCCACCCAAACCCACTGATGAATCCCATCTCCCGAAAAAATCCATGAACACTCCAGATACAAGTGACCTTTTTTATATGTCCAAGGCCAACTGATTTCTATCTAATTGATCTACCCAGCCTTGTGGGCCAAAGTCTAACTCCCTGAATGCTTCGTCAAAGGCAGCGTATCAGTCCGGGATTCGTTCGCAGCTTATATATATACTTACCCTTTCCAAACTCCACGACTTCGATCCGACACGGTTAGTATGCTTCATAGAGAGCCCGGGCATGTTCCACGGACCATGAACGCTGATTGATTGCAGCGAGTTACTTAGAGCGCTCAGCAATAATATAATCTTTCACTAGTGTTTAACACGCCTTCGACCGGGTTGGTCTGGGCGAGATTCGACGTTGCATTTTATTTGCTTTTGAGTGCTTGCACCGCAGGTCGCTGCATCTGCGGTCATAGGACTCTGAAAGCACTGCATCCCGTTCGATCTGCGAAGTTAAGTGGAGTACCGCTCGGTTAGTACCATGGTAGGGGACTACATGGGAATCCCGAGTACCGCGGTTCTCTTTTCTTTTCTTTTCTTTTCTTTTCCCTTCCGTATTATTGTCTTCACCAATACCCCTCCACTTACAGTCCTGAGAGGGGCACCAGGCACACTACAATTTTGATGTATTCTCAATCGCCATTTAATCCGCCCGAGAATTAACCCGTACAAGTTTACGTTCTTATGGTCACTAAGCCCACGTCGAAACAGCAAGTTGAGTCTATTCCGCTCGCTGGCGAGTGCATATGATGCCTTTTTTTGTGGCATGAAAAGTCACCTTCCTACCTGCCCCTTTATACTTGTGTCTCATCCTTTACAGCCCATACAGAACGACGCCTCACTGTGTTCACGTTAATGCGGCACATATGCTTCTGGAATCATGTCGCGATTACGTTTCATCAGAAGATTGCCCCCAAATATCGATTCGATGGCCTTTGCATGATCCCTTCAGCTTTTGCAGATTGAGTTACATATAACGAAGCGTGGGTGTATGGATGCAGGTAATGCCTGTTGTTCCACACAGTTCGCGGTGCGATTGTGGAGCGAGAGGTGTAAGGGAAAACAAAATCAAAATCACAACAACTTCTTGAGGATGAGAAACTCCGACGGAATCTCAGCCGATATATGGCAACGTTGATAGCACGCGCAAGGCGAGAGAGTCAGCGGGATCTGCCGCTTCAGGTGATTGAGGCACGTGATGGGACGCCGGAATAATCCCCCCCCCCCCCCGACCTTAATTTGCTGCTCTCAGTGCTTTTCTCCTGGTACATAAACTCGCACAGCAACTTCCGCAGTCATATTGAATGCCAATTTGCACAACATGCACGGCCCCCATCCCACATCTGTACACAGTCTATCAATCATCGCATAATCTCCGTTTACATCAGTGCGTTCGTGTCTACCCCACAAAAAAAAAACCGGCCTTGAAGCACAAGTTCAACTCATTTAAATTTAAATTTAAATAAAAAAAACCACTCTCAGACGCATTGTGGTTCTTTTGCAGATCCTTATGTGGAGCATGATCTGACCATCATCACGCTTGACTTGATACTTTTGAAACCTGGAGTTTATCGACATCTTCTCTTCAATCGAGGTTCTAAACCAAAACGTTCTGATGATGATGATGATGATGAAAAAAACGATGATGAATTATTGAGTCAAACTGCAAAGGACTCCTCGGAGAGTGCTCAGGAGCTAGCTGAGGTGTGTTCCTGTTTCCTTCCCCTTCACTGCTACCATAAATGGTATCATAACTCTTCTTATAGATCCGTACATGGACGCTCTTGCGCCTCGCTGTCATCCTCACCCCCATTGACGCCTGTGAGTTATCGCTTAATTGTTTGGTGCGCGTAAAGGAGTAAATCTATACTTTGCAGACATTAGATGGTCCTACCGATGTATGTATGCCCAACCCTCGTGCTCCGCTTTGGAACTAAATGAGACTTTAGATCATCTTCCTGACTCGAGAAGTGTGAGTTGGTCCCCTTCAGCGGCCAACATCTTCTTCCGGATACTTGTTGGATGTATCATGGGTGAGTACTGTGGCTTGTGCTCTCGCTATGCACCCTTCGGCAATTTCATTGAAATGCTTTCTATTCAGAAACTCTCGCTTTTCATGGCGGTGTGACGATAGCTAGCTGGATTGTCCTGGCTCTCCTTGACAAATGGTCTCCACACTCCAAGTCGTCAACGCGTGGAAATTTAATGTAAAAAATTTTCCTTGTCATATCTCCCGGCATCTACCTCGATTTACACACACAGGGTTCATTAGGCTCAAGATACATGTACCCCTCGTTCTGTTTTATTCATCCTTGAAAAAGTTATTTTTACTCTCTCTGCTTTCAATCTGGCAACAATCGTCCAACTTATCTCCTGTCACCAACACGATCACCAACCCGGCCATTCCCGAGCTTATCACGAACATCCCTTGGGCGGTATCGCTTTATACGATCTTTGACGAAGATGTTCTGGATCGTGAGTGGGTGATACGCAATCTGTTAGGCGGAATGGCCGCAGGATTTGGATTGCGGGGTATGTAATGGGTCCACCGAAAAAACAGGATCTAGACTCACTCGATGACCATTGTTGTTGGGCTTTTCATTATTAGTGGCATTGGATTGCAATCCCTACTTTATAACCCTTATCATCCTCTTTGGTTGGATCGCTAAGACGTTGATGGCCTTTTGGCTTCATGGATGGGTGGGAGATGCAGATGATGAACGTTGGAAAGTGTATTCAATACCTTGACGGGGCTCACCCGCCGATTTGTGCTGTGCATCCCAATTATCCCATTGTTGAGTTGTTGGAAGCTGCGTGGTAAGGGTACGTCATAGGCGGCCCTTGTTGATTATGTCAACTCGTCATCGAAGACACATGTGAAAAGCGCTTGTAAGCTTCCCAGTCACCGCGCCTCTTCCTCAGCATATTAATTCCGTGGCCTTTGTACCAAAGGAAAGGGGGCGGGTTTGTGGTATGTATGTATGTAATTGTGATGATGATTCAGTTTTCCAGGGTGAGTTTTGCTGGGAATTGAGTTGCTGCGCTGGGGAGTACTTGGAAGTCAATCATTTGAGGAGGTCTTTCTGCTTTGAAATTATATTCCGGCGCACCCTTTTTTGGTATACCGCCGGGAAGAACTTGCAACGTGGACATTCAGTCCGGGGGACAAGTGCTCAATTCAAGTTGCAGCCCTGCGGTCACATGTAATCCTGACCAACTCGATAAGCAGTTGGGTCAGTTGGTTGGGTTGGTTGGGGTGCTTTTTCACATGGAATTAGGCTTGGAGGGCTGAGGAATGGTAATTGGCATGGCAAGCCCCTCCCTTTGACCACCACCAAATGATCAATGTCAGAAGAATCCGTTTCTTCTGCGTTGCGTGGTCTAATGTTACTCCATATTGTACTTTTTGAAATAAAATAAACGTTGTTCATGGGCCCGCGCCCTGGCTGTGCAAACGTTTCAAAAGCAGGCGCCCAAAAAAAGCGTGGATTATCTTTTTTTGATATGCTCATCACTTATATTTCTCCACCCTATAACCCTAACGCGCGTTGTTTTACATATGTCCTCTTAAACCTCCCTCCCTCCATGCTGCTTTCTCCTCAACGTCCACGATCCCCCCCCTCGTCATCCAACCCGGGAGTTGTCTAAATCACAAACGTGTCCATGGCCCATTTTGAGCGAATGGAGTCATCACCCACTCCTCCAAACTCCAGCACCGTCGGAGCAATCCCAGACATCATCGAACGACGCACCCAGGTACTTCGTTCGGCGGCCAAACTTTCTCGCTCCATCTCGACGAGGATCAAGGCTACTGCGGGGAGCATCCTACCTAACGGTAGCTCTTCGGAAAGTCCGTCATCATCATCAAAGTTTGCTTCTACCAGCTTCAGTCCTTCCGGGCGTGACTCTTCCATTTTGGTCGCAAGCACTAGTACTGGTACTGGTACTGGTACTGGTACTGGCAGCAGCCCGCCAACATCAAGCAAAGGTAAAGATAAAAACAACAACAAGGACAAATACCCCGTATACACGAGTCCGATAATCAAAAAGTCTCCTCCCAGCGTGACGTCCTCAATCAAACATATTACCTCTTCGTTCTCATTGACTCGACACGGTCGTTCCAAATCAGACACAGCATCATCATCATCACCTTTCGCTATTATGCCTGCTGCCGCCGAATCGCTCCTCTCCCCTACTACACAAACCTCTCGTCCTCAATTCGATCATCCCTCAGGCTTAGGCTCAGGCGGAGGACCCCCCGTATCTGGGAATCCTATAGCGGAAAGTGGTTCAGAAGGGGGTGGTGGTGGTGGTGGCAGTAATTCAATCGTCCGTAGGAGATCGTTTCGACACGAACAATATCCTCGATCGCAGCAGGATCATCATCATCAACCTGTTTCTCCTCCTCCTCGGCTTGTTAAAGCTGCCGGCCATGACATCACGAGCGATGCGAGCGTAGATGAAGCCGAGTTGAAAGTTCCTGCGTTGTTACAGACTGGGACACCGATGCTCAAAGTGAGCTCTAAGCAACTCAAGATGAGGATGTTTCGACTCGATCCAGATCTGGGTCAAGTCATTTGGGAGTCGAATAGGTACGGAGTTCGTGAGTACCTTGGCATCTCATCTCTCATCTCGTCAAAATTCTCTGTTGCTCCTGCTTGCCATATATTTTCGTCTCACACATACTGACTGGTCATCATCCACCCCCTTTGCAGTTCCGATCGAGCACATCAAGGAGATCCGCACCGGTCCCGAAACGTCCTACCATCGTGAACAACTCCGTCTTTCAGCAGACTACGAACCAAGATGGATCTCACTCGTCTACGCCAGAGATGGAAAATACAAGATCCTCCACATGGTCTCTCTGAGCGACGACGTATTCAGAATGTGGAACGTAATCTTACGAAAACTCTTCTCTTTGCGTCAGGAGTTGATGAGTGGATTGGGAGATGCGAACGCTGAGGTTAGGCAGAGGGTTTGGGAGAAACTTTATTGGAAGGGTGCCGATTCGACTGGGGATGCCAAGTTGGATTTTCAAGAAGTGGAGAGGATGTGTAGGAGATTGAACATCGCTACTCCTCGAAGCGAGTTGTTGAATTGTTTCATGGTGAGTTTAGACCCGGGGTTCTGGTAATGCATATTCGGAACACTAATTTTTTTTTTTTTTTTTTTTTTAAATTTTTTTTTTAGCAAGCGGATTCGCAGTCGAGGGGTTTCCTTGATTTTGCCGATTTCCGTCACTTTGTCAAGCTGTTGAGGGCACGACCCGATATCGCTGCCATCTACGATGACGCCATGGGAGATTCGCCAGAGTTTACTTTTGAAGTGTTTGAGAGGTTTATGCGGGAATCCCAAAAGGTGTGTTCATTGATAGTTTTCCGATTGACTTTTTGAGCCGTCATAACTTTGTGTGTGGTTTTTTTTTTTTTTTTTTTTTTTAGTCTACGTTATCGAAAGAGGAACTATTACGGATATACGCAAAATATGGTCGTCCTCGATATATTTCCATGCCAAATACCCCACTCGTGATGCCTGCAGAGATCAAGGGCGAGGATGAGCTTCCAGGAGAAGGAGAAGAAGCCGTCCGAGATGGTGCGAATGATCAACGAGAGGCTTCTGCTGCCTCCCCCATTACCTCTCTCGCCACCGCTGTCCTGGCGACGGCGTCAACATTGGCACCTAAGCTTTTGGTTGCACCCGAACTACCAAAGGACTCCCAGACCGGCAGACAGACGAAGATCCCTGAAGCGGCGCCACACGAACTTCCTGGGGAAAGCATCAAATTCTCGGGTGACAACTCCGCCACTGTCGTCTCTCCTACCGACGTTGACCCAACACCCACTGAACCGCCACCTCTCACTATACCTCCCACTCCGACCCCTGATTCACCAACACCTCCATGGTCTCTTTCAACGTTCGAAGCCTTCTTACATTCTACCGATAATTCACCCTTTGGTGATAATCCAGATGATATGACGCGTCCTTTGAGCGAGTATTATATCTCTGCTTCGCACAATACGTACCTTGTCGGTCATCAGCTTGTGGGCGATAGTACGATCGAGGGGTACATCCGGGCACTGTTACATGGTTGTCGAAGCGTTGAACGTAAGTTTTTCCTCCCCTTCCTCCCCCCACCCACTGATTGATACTCTCACGCCCTTGGTGCTCTGAACGAATTTTTCACCTTTGTAGTCGACATATGGGATGGAGACGACGGACCAGCGATCTTCCATGGTCATACGCTCACGACCAAAGTTAGCCTTCAGGACGTCGTACGTGCCATCGCGAGATACGCCTTTGTAGCATCTCCTTACCCCGTCGTCATCTCTGCCGAGATTCATTGCTGTTTGGAGCAGCAGGATATGGCGGCAGAGATCATGCGGAAAGAGTTTGGAAGCGCCTTGGTGGATGAGCCTGTGAATGGGGAAGAGAAGGGGAATATCGTTACGTTGCCTAGTCCTGAGGCATTGAAAGGAAGGATTTTGTTCAAGGTGAGAGACTTTTTATCGCTGTAAAGAGTGGGAACAAGGATCTATTTTTGTTCGTTTACCTAGGCGAAGAACGCTTTCTTGACGACCACTTTAACGGCGGAACCAGAGGAAGCGCGAGAGGGTGGAGTTGATGTTGATGTGTTGACGACCACGACGGAAGAGGTTTCCAGTAGCGATGTGGAACAAAAGAAGGGTACGTTTTTTTTTTTGGCTTTTCCATTACAAAGTAGAATCACTGATTTCAACTTTTTTATTTTTAGGGCTCGGGAAGGAAGTCAAGGAAGAAATATCTCATGAGGTGTCTCGCGCTAAAGGTCTCATGAGGAGGATGCGAGGAAAGTTAAAAGGCAGATCGACCAAGTCTTCTGGTGGGGATGGTGGTGGTGGTGGTGGTGGTGGTGGGAACGTGGAGAAACCCAAACCAAAGATGTCATTGGCCCTTGCGGCTTTGCTCGTGTATACGGTGGGCATCAAGTGTCGTGGGCTAAACAAGAAGGAGACGTATGCCGTCGAACACGTCTTTAGCCTGTCAGAGAGAATGGCGGATAAAGTTATGAGGGAGAGTATGGCAGATTTGATAAAGCACAATCGGACGCATGTTATCAGAGTTTATCCGAGTGGGACGAGATTGAGTTCGACGAACTATGAGCCTCATCGGTATTGGGCATCTGGGGCTCAGCTGGTTGCTATTAACTTTCAAACATTCGGTGAGTTTCCCTTTTTTTCTTCTTTCTTCTTTGGATGCTGAAGAGAAAGCTCAAATCATCGTTTGTTCAGATCTCGGATACATCATGAACTATGCGATGTTCATGAGGAATGGCCGTTTGGGCTACGTTCTCAAGCCTGCAGCTTTGAGACTGAAAGATAAGCAGATGGCTTCGAGGCGTACCAAGCACTTCCTAGATGTAACGGTGAGCTTTTCTATTTACTTTACTTTGTCGCATTCAAGATATGCGGACTGATCTTTTTTTTTTCCTTCTCAGATCATTTCAGCGCAACAGCTCCCTCATCCCAAGGAGGGCAGTCAAGGGAGAGACATCGACACGAAACGTACGATCGACCCTTACGTCGAAGTGTCACTTCACGTCCCAGAATGGTCCATCTCTCCATTTCTCCCCGACCAGAACGCTCGACGTTCATCTCCTCCTCACAACGGATCTTCTTCTTCTTCTTCTTCTTCGAACCCTTCCTCTGCACGGACCGTTTCGTATGTCACGAGTGTGGTGAAGGATAATGGGTTCAATCCTGTGTGGAAGGAGACGATGGCGATTCCATTCGATTGTGTTGGGGACATGCGGGAGCTGATATTCGTCCGATTCCAAGTCAAGGATGAGCATGGTCATGATGATTTGGGTGTATATTGCGTCTCACTCGCGAGTCTTCTGCCTGGTAAGCACTCCCAACTTTTAAATGTGGGATGTCATTCAGTTCGTTGATTGCATGGATTGTGTTTCTTTCGTTTCTTTTCTTTTTTTTAAGGATATCGCCATTTACCCCTGCATGATAAGCAAATGTCACAGTATCTATTCTCAACACTGTTCATCCATACGATCATTCGAGATGTCACTGATTGATATTATATTTTATTCATGTCATCCCACACGTCCATTTTCTTTTTCATTCTGTGCATTATAGCATTGCGGTACATTTCTACATTTCGGATTCATCATGTACTAGTACCATAGCCATCCAAACCCTGATTTCAAATCATCGCCGCGAACCCAGAGACTATCGTATTGCGAGCGCCGAACCCCTGATCAACTCTTTTTCGCCATCATGGGCGAGCTTATCCCGGTGACATCGCTAAGTGGACGTGACACACTGATAGTCCTGGAGTCGAAGGGCCAATAGACTCAAGAGTGGCACAAGGTACATTGGCAAAAGAACCTTCAAACTCAAATATAACAACGACAATATGTCCCCTGTTCGTTAGACGGATGCGCAAATGCAGCCGTGAGGCCTACGACACATGTGATACGTCGTTTGTCCGTTGGATGGTAGCTGATGTGACTGAGGGGGAAAAAAGAGTGACCCCGAAGGGTTTGAAGTCTAAAATGGTAAAGCCGTGGAGGCCAGACGCGCCACCATCGAGACAGTCCGGTGCTCTGAGTGACGCATTATTGCTATTGCTCCAACACCAAAAGAGCGCAAAGGTGACACAGATTCCAGTGACAAGCTACCTTTGAAAACCGCGAACCAGAAAGTGCCCCCACTGTCTTGTTCTCAGACTTTGACGTTTAGGGTTCTCAAGCTTTGAGATGTGATATAGCAAGCTGTAGAGTTAGGACCCGACGCGGTCGCAGAAGACGCCCGTAAAAAGAACCCCTGATCCTTTTGGGGTGCGATGCATACCGGGGGGGCCGAGAGCGAAAACCTGCACATTTGTGCGAAATTTTCGAAGACGATATCCAGTTCCTCCGACTTGGATTTTGAGATGGACCATCCACCCTAACAGAACGACTGATATCCCTGTTCCTGAAAGGCGGAGTCCCTTCACGCGCTACACACGTGCTACATGGATAGCACATCTTGGACACGCCCTCCACAGTGCTTGTGGACGCAGTCGGGCGGAACAGTCGAAAGTTCGAATGTCACTCAGGATGAGTAGAGAAGAACGGTTGGCCGAAGCGGGTACTCCGCAACACAGCCCCCGGTTCCAACCTTGCCACTGAGCGTCCACTGATTAATTTAGGGGGGGAGGGATTTGCTGCCTCCCAAACGCTGTAACACGTACCATCAATCAACCTCCCAGCGATTCTTGCTATGACGAGCGAGCTTGGCCTGCCAATTACTACCCTCACTTCTGGCGCACTTACTGAAGACATTTACTACAAGGTTGTGAAGGAACTTGCTATCTTATCCCCCAGATCTCTCCGATCCGCCACCCTCGTCAGCCGCGATTTTTATGCCTTTACGACTACCTTGCTCTTTCGCACAATTGAAGTAGGCCATTTAGCCGTGCCGAAACGAGATGAGGCTATTCTTCAACGATTAGAAGATAATCGATCTCTTTGTTTGTGTGTTCGCGAACTTGTGCTTGGCGAGCGGGTAGGAATAACAATCGGAGGGCTATCAGAACCGTTAGGGGAAAGATTGTTACCTTTACTTTCCCATATGACTCATCTCACAGACTTTTGGTTTTCGTTAAGTCATCGATAATTATCGTCCGCTTGTTGCTACTAACGTTAATATCTATCAGTGCTACCTCCTCCTTTGTATCGCCGCTCGTACAATTCATCACTCGCAAACGTCCGGATGTGCGGCTCCACGCAAATCTGTGTGAATACGAGGACAGTGATGGGGGATCACTGTCATGGACCATTAGCAGAGCATCCTTCGGCCCCTCTCCCAACCTTGTTTCCATGAATGTTAGGACACATTACCACCGGGGCCAAACGGATCTTCTTGTCCACATAAAAAAGTTAGCTTTATCCAGTGCGAGCTTGCGCTCGCTTACTATAGGAGTTGATTTTGGCGGTTGCTTTTTGGGTGATTTCTCAACTGGCGACATTGCGTTTGAACAAGGGGAACGGGTTTCTTCCCTTCGTAAGCTCTCGATCGACGGCTGCCCCATGGATGAATCTTGGCACAGTGGCATCCCATGGGATGCGCTCGAAGAAATATATTTTTCGCGCTTTCCCGCCATCCTCCACACTCAAGTCGACCAGATGCACAATCTTCGCTCCGCCAAGCTGATTGGTAAAGTCTACTGGAATACTGAGGAAGAGCGTTTGCAGATCGCACGACCAATCAGCGATTTCCTTCTTCGTCTCCCTTCTGTTCTAGAGGAGCTTGACCTGGAGGAGCTCACAGGAGACGTCCCAATCTCCACCATTGCCAGGTTTGGAGATTCACTCAAGAGACTCAGGCTTCATGTCCTTGAAAAGTATGACAGGGTTGGGGCGCGACATGTGTTGTCAGCTCAACAGCTGGATAAGATCCGTGTTGCCTGTCCTAGCCTGGAAGAGCTTCAGATTGACATCAATCGTAACAGTGAATGGGTACGTCTGTGGGGTCGCCGCCTCATTAACTATTTTTTGACAGTTCACTCCCAATAACAGCCTTACGATGTCCTGGACGCTGTAGCAGAATTTTCGCAATTGAGAAGGCTCACACTGTCCCTCGAGCTTGGGCTTGAAACGGAGACGTTTGTCAAACCGTACGCCACCCACTACAGCAGCGTCCAGCTTTACAAGTACATAGCATCACATCGACGGAACAGTCATCCACTGGACGAGCTCACTATCGAGTTAGGTGGACACCGTAAATTGGGGACGGGCTACCCATGTTCCTGGGTGTTGTGGGAAATGGACGAGCAAGCGACATACACGGTCAAGCCTTCTGAGCGACTTGAGGATGCCCAAGCAGGTTTGCTTGATGTCTGGAGGAAGAGGGGAATGCTACGTGGAGGCGTTAAACTTTTTTATGGTCCGGTAGGAGGAAATACCGAGGATGACAAGGAGATTGTTGCGCTTCATGAACGACATGGCGAAAAGAACTCAAGATTTGAGCTTTATGGTCTTGACCTCAGTGCATTATAGCATTTGCAACAAAGCAACCACTTACATAACCTATATTTGTCATGAATAGACAACAGACATAGTGATACATCTTCGTCACTGTGATGATAAATTTATGACTGGTGGACGCCGCCTGATGCGGCAGAACCCGCTACTCTTAACCCTGCATGTTCGCTCACTTTCATTTGGCATTGACACTCTCTGCGTAATTCAATCAGTATCTTGATATGATGATGCATTGGTTCTATATGTACTCAACAACGTGTAGTGGAGAATGTCACAGGAAGAATATCCAAACCCTAACCAGCCCAGAACGCCCGTGTAAGTCGCAACCGCGGTTAGAGTATAGGCGGAGCTCCAAGCCCACAAGAGCACTCACCCCGGGGAAGGACATTGGACCCACATCCAGAAACCCAGATTTGAACCGAATGCAGTGCGGCGGACTTGATGATGACTCAGCTGCATAGGCGGAGAGCCTTACAAACTGGTGAGAAACACCCAGCTTTAACCTTCCCCACAAACAGGCAACATTTTGGGAAGCGGCACTGCATGCAGCCAGAAGATCGTGTCCTCTTAAATCACTTGAACGCCACTGCCTGTGGTGCCACGAAAGCGAACTGTTATCGAAGCGACATGAGTTAGGTGGCCACCAGCTAGGAACACCAGCAACTCGAGTTGTGTCACCTCCGACCGGGTTTTTAATCCAATATGCCACGCACGAATTCAGATTGCACCTGAAACTGAGATTCCGAGTATTCCAAGTCCATTGGAATGGAGTGCTAACAAGGAAATATTCTTTTTGGAAGCCAAAGGAGTGCTGATGGCTTCTTCAGGGAGCAGATTAAACAAGCAGACCCCTCTGGGCGAATTACACGCACACGTGCTATCAGGCAACGGAACACAGCTGTCACCCACAGCTAATGCAGACGGATAAGTTGCATACAAATGAAGGGAAGCGGTGCCAATGATGGCCACTCACAACAACTCCGCGAGGAATGTCTGCTCCTTGGTCATCAAAGGCTTGCAGGTCGATGTGATGCTTGAACTCTTTCTGGATGGAAGGCGAAGGCAGTGTACGTCGAAAATGGTACTCAGGTCCCAGTCCGGGTGCGAGGACCACCTGAGCGACTTGTCTAAGATCCAACTCGAACGTCGCAAAGGCGCAGGGACATGAGGCAGGACCATCATGCACCGTAAGTTGTTCCCTGAAACGCAGAAGGCACAGCCCCTTCTTCCGTCACGCTATTTCCCTCTTCACTTTGGATGGAGCGGGGGCATACCCACCTGAATTTGATACTTAACTTTGGTGCGCTGCCGGACGTTGTAAGTGATGAATCGAAGAATGCAAGAGGGGAAAGGGGACAAACTCCTTGCTCGTGCCATGCATTGAAACGCGCGGCACGCTGATTACCGTAAGGACCAACGTCGGCCATGGTGGTCACTCCCAAAAAGTCGTACTTGGCCGGTGTATTGCGATCATTGTGTGTTGTCCAAGTACCACGTATAGACTGACCATTCGATGCCGCTGCACTTCGGTAAGCCACCGACCCAGGGTGAATAGCACCCAAGAAGTTAGCAGAGTCAGCGTGAACGAGAACACAAGCAACGATTCAGGCATCCATAACTAAGGGCGCAGTTAGTTTTCAGTGTCCTCACGCTCTTTATTAGCGATCTCGACTTGCGCATGAAAAGCTTAAGTTTGTACCCGACCCCGTGGTCACAACTCCGGTCTGGAAGCGAACAGAAGCAAATGGAGTCGAGCGCGATATGAATAGATGAAGGTTACACTAGAGGTGGGACGCGAAAGTGGAGGCAAGTTCGGCCGCAAATAAGGAGGACCCTGGTAACCTATAAGGGGGAATGCATTGGAACTAGGGTATTGGCGATGATAGAGGACCTCTTGCACGACCAAAGGGTTTTCGCGTCGCAAATATTTGCACCCGCTATGGAGTATCCTTGAAACGTCAATGACGGGGTTGGTGAATGACCCTGAGGAAAGGTGATATACCGACGGCCCTCCAATTTCCATTACATGACCTTCTGAGCCCTCCAAGCTCCCTGTGTGCAGCACGAGTGACGCTGCCACACGTTGAAACACGGGAAGATCTCATCGAGTCCTATACACTGACCGTGACGAACATGCATGAACGGGCTTGACCAAGGAACGTTCAAGTGCCGCGAACAAGGTTGAGTACGGTGCGTCAGTAGTCAGTATTTGTATTTTGCTATTTTGTTGTTGGACCTTGAAGCCTCTAGGAGCACTGCCTCGGATTGAAGCCGTGGGGGATAGGTCCGTTACAACGTCTCAAGAAGCCCCATCAGTTTATAAGCCACAAAGATTCATCATGAACAATGGATGTTTTAAACGACAGATCGGTGTGTCTGGTTAGCATCAAACTAATGTATGATAAAATCCCTCCATAATTGCGATTTGGTAGTCCCGCACAGAAACGGTATGTATCGATCTATATTGAGTCTAAAGTCAGATCGACAACTAATCAGTTGCACGTGAGCTCGATAACACCCAAACTGACACTGTTTTCTATCTTAATCGAGGCTGGTGCCCTACCTGTCAACGAGATCAAGTATGAAGAGGCTTCGGGCGACCGGAGGAAATGTAAGTACAGGAATGGATAGGATCACTGTTTGCTTCAAGATCGTCTGAGTCTCCAAAGGAGTCCAAGTCATCGGTATGGCGGCGCTTGACTCGCAGGACCTCAACTCGCCCTGAACTACTAGTCGACACCCCGACACCCCTCCCTGCTACTACAAACGAGCAAAATTTTGGCCGCAAAGCTGTCAGCCTCAATGAAGACATACTGTACAAAGTAGTAGAGGAACTCGCGACCCATTCTCCTAAATCTCTCCTTTCTGTAGCCCTCGTCAGTCGGGCTGTTCATTCCTTTACTGTCACCGTCCTCTTTCGAAGCGTCTGGGTAGGTCGTTTTGAGGCCAAAAAAAGGGAGCGAGCCCTTCTTCATCGACTACAAAATGACCTATTGCTCTGCTCATACATTCGCCAACTCACCATTTACAATGAGCCAGGGAGAAACGTAGAATACGAAGGAATCGTGACAATTCTATTGCATCTCCTTCCTCATATGACCAATCTCAAGGATTTCTGGTCCGTTATACCATCCATCCTCACCATCTGCGCGCATGCTGATATCAATGACTCACAGTTGTTATACCCCCTTGGGATCCTCACTGGCACAACATATTTCTTGCAACAATCCAGCTGTGCAGCTTTGTCTGCACTCGATGCCTTTGACCAATGAGACCTTTGCGTCTTGTGCTAACATTGTTTCCATTGATGCCGAAACTCACTTCTACCGGGGCCCTGAAAATTTCCTTGTTCGCTTAAAGGAGTTAGCCTTGTCCAGCGCCAATTTCCGTTCGCTTACTTTGCGCGTTCTGTGGGGCGGTTGTGTTCGCGGACCTATAACCATCGGAGATATCACGTTTGAACCAGGAGAGAGATTATCCTCCCTTCGCAGCCTTTCGGTTGATGGTATTACCCCTAATGATTCATGGAACCTTGGTGTTCCCTGGGATGTGCTGGAGGACATTTATTTTCGTCGCTTTCCTTCCATCCTCCGATCCCGGGTTGACACGATGCACAACCTCCGTTCCATCGGGCTGAGCGGTGGGTCTGGTTGGGTCACCAATGAGGAACGTTCCCAAGCTGCAGTACCAATTAATGAATTCCTTTCCCGCGTTCCTTCTGCTCTGGAAGAGCTCAACTTGGAGGAGCTCACCGGAGTGATACCGGTTTCCACGATTACCAGGTTTGGACCCTCTCTCAAGAGACTCAGGTTTCACAACCGTGGGAGCTTTGGCAACGTGGAGACGCGGCATGTGTTTTCGGCTCAACAGCTAGACGAGATCCGTGTTGCCTGCCCTAACTTGGAAGAACTCCAGATTGACATCAATCCCGATGGAGAATGGGTATGTGGATTTTTGTTTTTGTTTTCTATGGTTTGACTGGAAAGTTTGTATGTAGCCATACAATGTCTTGGACGCGGTGGCTAAATTTCCGCGCCTGAACAAGCTCACGTTGTCTGTTGGACTTGGGCTCCACGCGGGGACGCCTGTCAAACCTTACCCCAGCCACTACAGCAGTGTCCAGCTCTATAAATACGTAGCATCGGTTCGACGACCCATGCGTCCCCTGAACGAACTTGCTGTTCAACTGGGCGGGCCTCACCAAACGAGGGGAGGTTACGGTATATCGTCGATACTGAGGAAACCAACGTCGTACCGGGTCGTACCTTGTGAGCGACTCGAGGACGCCCAAGCTGGCCTGCTTAATGTCTGGAGAGACCAGGCAACTTGGGGACGACAACTTGAGTCTTTCTATGGCCCAGTTGGAGGAGACACCAAGGATGACAGGAAGATATTTGCTCTTCACGAGCGGCACGAACTGCACATGTGATGAACCGATACTGGCCCCGAACCGTGGAAGCAACAATGTAAGAACCATCAGAATGTTCGTGCCATGAGAGGTTTCATGAACAGCTTAAGAAAGTGTAAAATTAGAATGATTTGTAAATGCGCTAGGCCTTATCTCAAGATTGGATTGACGTACACCATACATGTAACAAGAAGGAAGTCATATTACCTAGACAAGGCGAGCGAGATAAAAGAACAGCATACGTAATTATACGGCGAGAACGAGCCAATTTCAAGCAATCAGCACCGGCAACCAAAAAATAGACGAAGGCGAACTCAATGTCACCGGTAAGTGCAATCATTAAAAACTCTTTCGATACGAGTACTGGAAGATACAGATATAAGATCATTTCAGGTTCTATTCTTTCATTCTTCATGGGGTACCAGGTCCTGATGCAGCGTAACCGTTAGGGCTCTTCGAAATGAGGCTGTTACGCGAACGGTACGTACCGAAGAGTCCTGGTTTCATGGGTGCAGGTATGGGAACAGGTGCGGCTGGCACTCTGGTAGGTGCGAGGAGTTGAGGATTAGCTACACGTGAATAATATTAATGAACTTCGAAGAATCTGAGGGAAATGAACGTACGTTTCCAGCTTGCCCAAGATGGTTTTACCTCAACAAAAGGTGGGGGTACTGGTGCTGAGACAGGCTCGGGCAGACCACCGATGTTCTTTCGCGGTTTCCGTTCTCGCTTCCGAGGCTGTTCGACAGTTCGCCAACCTGATTTCGCGGGTGCTGGCGGCTCAACTGGTTCTGGAGGCGCCGGTGCGGGTTCTGGGGGTGGCGGGAAAAGTGCTTCTGGCTGTTCCTAATTTAATTGATTTTAGTTAGATTTTTTTTGACGGTGTTCGAAGGTGCAAATCAATCATACAGGTTTCCTACGGATTACAACAGTGAATTAGATGGTGACCTAGGTACGGATCAGGATTGGTTTGCACTCACCAGTGAGGGGCGAACTCGCCTGGGAGATAGAGTCATGGGTGGGCAGTAATAAGTTAGCGATTATGCTTTGATTCGCGTTGCAGCAAAAGAGGATAACTCACCACCAGGACCATGTTGGCTCTTCATCGCCATCAACTGTGCGATCTCGAATTGGAGTGCCCGGCGCTCATCGCGGAGCTTTCCAACCTCCTGAAGTAATATTCGAACTTCGGACGCGAGGGCTTTGCTGTTGCAGAATAGGGCACAAAGGTCAACACACATTCTGGCCAGATGAAACGTATCTCGCTGCGCTCACCTGAAGTCGTTGATGTATCTGGGAAAAGGGAGGCAAAGTAGTCCTTATTGAACAGTTCGATCCCCAACATGCTCGACTACCCACTTTGGCGCCTGTGGCAGGCGGCCGGTTTCTCTCTGCGCCATCTCTGGGAGATGTCCTAGGTACTCTTGAGGACGAGAAGGCGCTTTCTGTTCGCCTCTTAGCAGATCAAAGTGAAGATGGTTCGATACGTTGAAGGATGAGTTATGGTTGAGGTAGTTCACATTTGAATCCGTTCCATCTGCCTCGTGGCCACCCCCCGACGAGGGATAAGGCGACGGCGGCAAATCTTGCGGCTCATAATAATGGTATGGGCGAGACATTTTCGAGGTATAAAAGAACAACAAAAGGAAGGCGCTCGCACAGCAACGGAGTGGGGATACGAACGTAAGGAAGAGGAAACGGCACCAACCAATCACAACTCCTGCACCAACCCTCCCAAACACAGAAGATCATCCAAAGAACCGGTCCTGCGCCGGCACAGGAACGGGCGAGGCATTAGTGCTGTATGAAGTTTCCTATGAGAGTAATATCAAAACGATGAGCGATCCATGTTACAAGAGAAACACGCCACAGGGGCGTGGCCCGTGGGCACACCGCCTGCGTTTAAATGATAGACGCACGGAACGGCAAAACATACCTGCAATCAGTGTAGGTATCCCATGCAAATCCCTTTGTATAGTAAATGAAAAACAGCAGCTTATGAGAGCCTCTTCAGGCGGGCCTGAGTTTGAGCGTAGCTTGAGGAGCTTCTTCCCTGTGGGTGAAATAGTGCCCGTACTCGCAGCAGAGCTCGTCGTAGTTGTGGGGTTAGCTGAGAAGTAACTGAGAGTGGCCGGTAACGGCTTATATCGAAGCACACATGATGTCAGGACCGCTTTTTGTGCTGCGTCAAATGCCACATGTCCATATTTCTAGTTGAAGCAAGATAAGTGAGCTTCGAGATGCGAAGCAGCAGAGGCCGAGGCGGAACCTGACCTCCCAATAATTTACAGCGGACTCTTCTGTCATGAGTTCATAGATGCAGAGACGGCCCTATAAAAAACTCTATGAAGTGAGTCACCCTACAACATGGTGAGTACAACACCTCTCGCAACTGAGTTACATCCACTCCAATTAGATCCGCGAACTCTTTGTTTCCCTGGGTGAATGTCAGCTAGGCCCCAAGTCCTGGTGGTGAATAATCACCACCTTATATATTTCTCCCGTCCTCCGCCACAAGCAAGCAGGAATACCCATTGCGGAGAATACCCGATCATAATCGAGCAACAGCCGCTCGAAGGCCTCTTCTATGAACACCAAATCCTGGGGTGGGGGAAGCTCAGGGAGCAGAACACAGAGCTCTGCGTTGGAGACTCACAATATCTGTCAGGGATTGTGCAATAGCCTGAGGCAAGATCGATTAGAACAAATCACCAGCGAAACGATAATAAAAATGCGCACCCGGAATTTGGGCCGAAGCACCGATAGCGGTTGCAAAATTAGTTGTTTTGACTGCGACGAAACGCTATACACATATGGGCATTGGTAACGGTTCGCAATAAAGCTAAGTACTCAGGACTTGCTTCTTATCCATCCATCTAGAGAGCCGGGCGTAACCCTTAACATAATTAAAGGGTTTGAGCAGTCCGGCCTCATATTTCGCATGGATCACCCGCGTGAGACGCTCATCACGAGTACCATCCTCTTGATCAGCCGCAGTAAGGAAGAATTGCTCGGCCTTTGTCGGGGCGGTCAGCACCTCGACGTGTTCTGATGGCTGTCGTGATCGACTTGGAGGTCGATTTGGAGTCGCTGGCTGCGGAGGGGCTGGGGGCTCCGCGAACTGAGACATTTGAGTCTGCGCTGAGGAAAACGTAGACGATATGGCACTGTTTGGCTCTGACGGTTGGAAAGTTGCTGAACTCTGGAGATCGAGTTGCTTTCAGAAGCAGGTCAAGGTGACCATATGAGAAGAAACGTACATTGCTGCCGAAATCCTGCACACTCTGGGCAACGGGCTGAAAAGGATTGATAACCCCTCCATTGTTGTTTAGAAAAGGCTGGTCTCCTAAAGACTCGAGAAAGTCGCTGGTCGGCGAGACGACCGTGAGCACAGCTTCGTCGCAAGGGTGAGTAAAATGCTACCTTAGTACGGAGAATTCATTACCCATTGACTGGTCAGGAGGGAATGAGATCGGCCATGATGCTGCGTTGGGTTCTGGTGGTCCGAAATTGAAGGCGGTATCTATGGAATGAGTTCCAACAGGCAGTTAGCGAGCAGAGGGAAAAAAGCATTTGAGTGTGTACTTTGCGGTAGTTGAGTTATATTGGCGCTTGGCCCCATATGATTTTCAGGCTGAAGGCTCTGAGTTGCATGGTTTTCGGAATGGTGATCGGCGTCCGTGCCAAGTTTAGATTTGGGCTCGTCATGACAGAGATGACCAATATCACGCTTGATGCTGTAGAACAGCTCTTAAAAGCGATGACCTCGGAGCGAGACGAAGCTAAATGTACCATCTTTGACAAGGTCGTCCTATTGGTGAATAAGCACTCCAGAGAACGTCAAACCCTAGCAAGAGACACTCGCCTTCATCACACGTCATATGGCTTCTGCGGCAATATAAGCAAGCATGATTGACTTTGCCTGAAGGGGAGGCTGAGTAAACGAGGGCGCAATGCTGGACCACAGTGAATGATCGTACGGCGTTTTGTTGTTCCATCTTTCCTACGCTTCACCCCAGGGCTAGCCGTATCATGGTCACTAGAGCCATCGGTAGGTCGCTGAGAAGAGCCAGCGTAGGTTTGTGGGACACCATTGAAAGGCTCATTTCGCTCAAAATCGGACGAGGGTCCAGCGGTGCCAGGAGGTGGGTTGAGACCGTTTGAGGCATTCATGACGAAACAAGACAGGAGCCTTAAACACCCTCCTAGAATCACGATGCCGCCGAGCGTCAGAGAGAACCAGACGCTCGTCTGGGAGGTTCAGTCAGAATCAAATTCATCATGTCTCGTGCCCACGTTGATGGCACACTGCCACACCGTTTCCAACTATGATGAGGACGGAAGAAAGTGACCTCGTTGATTCAATCAACTGCAGCCATGCACCTCAACCTACCATCATAAGCGCAGAACGTTTTTTTTGGGGCTTCTAATGCGGTAGAATCTGAACGCTGAAAGTGCGAATCAGTGTGCGAACCTCATCGCTTCACTATGCACATTGATCGGAAGGCAATCACTCAGATCAGGGTTACAATGATGAGCTTGTGCGTCTCGCCTCTACCGAAACGCCATTGATACCACATCTATGTATGTGTTGAATTTCTTGGATATCGACATACGCTCTGGGGTATCTTGCTTCCATGTGCTTGTTCACAATTCCGTGCACTTGCTTATTTTTCTCTGTTACGTCCTTCCTCAATTCACGTACTACGGAAATGAGCGTTTGAACGCTAGATTCTAATAATATGCAGTGAGGCTTGTTACCATCGAAATTTGCGAACATCGGCAGCGCAGCTTCTCAATGAATCGTCGATCACATCACCCACCAACAATCGATTCCGGTGAACCCTTGTTCCACTGCAATTCATGACATATGGGCATGTATCTCGAGGTCTTCAGTCTTTGAGGGCGATCTGAGGGCGATCGTCACGGTCTTCGTTGGTCCGAACGGATGAATTGCGGTTGGGAGGGTCTTGGTTTCCAACAGCCCCTTCATAAATGATACTCATCGGCCTCATGTATGCTACCTCGGTGCTAGTGTCTTTTCACTACGGAGGCTAAGTACTGCAGTATCTTTGCCCCATGTCATGCATTCTATAAGGAAACAAATTAATTGCCAGGGTGCTCACATGTACCCCTTCGCACTTCGGTCTACCCACCAACATCTTCCCCTTTCATCAAGTTAGGTGCAGAATGTTTACAAAGATGTTTTGGTTGGCATTATGTAATGATCTGAAGCCCAAAAACTAAAAGTCGTTATTGATATTAGCCAGACACGACAGGGTCCCGTCAGTTCAGCCAATGAAGTTAGAAATCAGGAAAAGAGAAAATGGTAATGGCTGACCCAAGAACTGAAATATAGTACGGAAAATCAAACGCACTGATCAAGAATGGTGTACCGTCACTTTGGGGTTGAACCATGGGGACGGTGAGAAATCAGGCGATGGTCCGTACTACTGGCTAGAGTGAGGAACGATGAGCATCTGTAGGCGCATGACGCCAGCGGAACTGGCCGTGATGTGCTCCGCCTACACGCCCAGGGGGGCGCAAGCTCGTAGTTCCGGTGCCTCTTAGAGGTTCGGGCACGGGGCCGCTCTGGACAAAGCTCTTCGCAAAACTCTTCATGAAGCGCTTGTCATCTTCAGTATTTCCACCGACAGGTCCATAGAAAGTCCCGGGATGACAGTCCCGTCGCTCCGTCCAGACATCAACTAAGCCCCGACATGAGCAACAAGGCGCAACTTTGTACGTCCTCAAGTGCTGTTCTATTCGGGGGTACGCCAGAGATCGCACGCTACCACAAAGACGGTGTTCAAAGTCTGGTGTGATGATGAGTCCGACCGAAGGACCGAACGTTCGTTGTGAGGCTATATATTTGTAGAGCTGGACACTGGCAACCTCCAGGGATAGAGTGAGCTTCTTTAGGCAGGGGAATTTCGCCACCTTGTCTAAGATATCGTGAGGCTGAAATTGAAATTGATTATGAAGCCACCCACGAGAGAATGCTTGCCTCGTACGTACCCATTCTCCATCGCGATTAATGTCAATTTCGAGCTCTTCCAAGAGGGTACAACTAACACACATTTCATCTAGCTGCTGGGCAGAAATAACCGGTCGCGTTCTATTAACCTGTCGCGTTCCAGCCCTATTAAAATCCCCGTAGCTATGGAGGCTGAGCCTCTTGAGTGAGTGGGTAAAGATAGAGACACAAATATCGGCAGTGAGGTCTTCTAGATCAAGCTCCTCTAGGTCCGAAGGGACCTTGGAAAAGAATTCAGCGATATGTTTGTTGACTTCCCAATTCATCTTCATAATGATCGGATGGGGGGACACGGTGAAACGAAGGTTTCGCATTTCACCAACGATATCGAGGAGAATGTAGGGAAAGCATGAGAAATGTATGTCTGTAAGGTTATGCCATGGAATGCAATGACGCCATGGTTCAACCATCGTGAATACCTCACCGGTAACACAATATCCGAACATCTGTAAGTGACGACTCACCAGGGGAATATGGTTTGGGTTTCATTCGGACGAAGAAGGACGAGTGTTCTCAGATCGGACTTATCTGTTATTTTTACTTTATTTGCGTGTATTTTTCTCGAGACCCCTACCCTTGGCGCTCGAGCAGCCTGAGGTTTTTCAGGCTAAATATCCAGAATAGAACAAACAAACATGCCCTACTTATAGCCTATCTAACTGTATATATAGAAAAGATAACTAGCGCCTCTGACGCTTTGTGCGACGGAGGGTTCGCCACTCGGCAACGCTTTGCCTGCGGCCACGCCCCCCTTGTCCTTGTGTGGCGTCTAGCTGCCGCAACAACACCGCCTACCGTGGATCCAGTGCTTTCTAGAGCACCATCGCACTAGGGCCGCTGTCACTAGATCCGGTGATCCGGATGCTGCTCTGGGCCAAGCCCTTCGCAAAACTCTTCATGAAGCCTCGCAATCACCTTGTCATCTTCGGTATTCCCACCTACAGGTCCATAGAAAGTCCCAGGGTCCCCATGACAGTCCCATTCCTCCCACCAGACATCAACTAGGCCCCTGACATGGGCGTCCTTGAGTCGCCAACAAGGCGCAACTTTGTAGGAACCCAGGTGACGTTCCATTCGGGGGTGCATGCCAAACAAAGGACGGTGTTGATAAAAGTTTGGTGCGGCTCGGATGATGAGCTCGGCAAGAGGACTGGACGTTCGTTGTGAGGCTATATATTTGTAGAGCTGGACACTGGAATAATGCGTAAGGTAGGGCTTGACCAATTCGTCTTCATTAAACCCAACCTCGAGGGATAGAGCGAGCTTCTTTAGGCAGGGAAATTTCGCCACCTTGTCTAGGATAACGTGTGGCTAGATGTGAAGTTGATTATGAAACCATCCACTAGAGAAGAATGCCTGCTTCTTACATACCCATTCTCCATCGCGATTAATGTCAATTTCGAGCTCTTCCAGGAGGGGACAACTGACACACATTTCATCTAGCTGCTGGGCAGAAATAACCGATCGCGTTCCAGGGCTATGAAAATGTCCATGGCTATGGAGTCTGAGCCTCTTGAGTGAGTGGGTAAAGATAGAGACAGGGATATCGGCAGTGAGCTCTTCCAGATGGAGCGCCTCTAGGTCCGAAGGGACCTTGCGAAGGAACTCAGCAATGTGTTTGTTGACTCCCGAATCGATCTCGATATGGGGGGTGTCACCCATCAGCTTGATGGAACGAAGGTTTCGCATTTCACCAACGACATCTAGGAGAATGTTGGGAAAGTATGAGAAATGTATGTCTGTAAGATTATGCCATGGAATGCTATGACGCCATGATCCATCATCGTCAATACGGTTGAAAAAAAGCTTCCGAAGGGAAGAAAGCCCTTGCCCCTCCTCGAGCACATAGCTGCGATTAAGTGAAAATATCGTCAAAGGGATATAAGAGCTAATTTATCTCGGCGTTAGAAAAACAATGACAGGAGACAACAAAGACCAACAAACCGAAGGTCCGTCAGATGCATCATGCGGGGAAGTAGATCCAGAATCTTTCTTACAATTTCCACCCCTCCCTCTTCTGACTTTTTCCCCCCCATCAGGGGGGTTCATTAATGACTACTTTGCGGACGTGTGAAAGGAGTGATGGATTCTCTTCTAATCGCTGAAGACGGCCGAGTTCATACGCCAACGACACCTCCCAATAACCGACTTCAATGATTCGGAACCAGATGACAGTAGTGATCCTATAAAATGCACGGTTGACCAGACTGACAGACACAAGAGAATCAGACGACAATGGGGCGAGCTGCTCTATAATTTGATAGTAGATGTCTTCAGTCAATCCAACGGCTCGGCTATTCATCAGAGATACGTGAGTGAAGCCTTGGTCAGTCTGATCTAAATTTTTAGGGGGCTGGGCGTCAAACGGCAGTTCCCGATGCCTTACCCTGAACCTTGATTGGCTATCTATCTATATAGCATGCAATATGATCGACATCCCCAATATTTTCAAGGTAGAAACGTTTACAAATGTGAGACCAAATAAAGTTAAGTGCACATACGTACTATCTTCTCTGAGCCGCAGGATGCTGTCAATGAGGAGTTTGAGATCCAACCAGCCAAAGCACAATTCTCCGTGAAATGAAGCGCCGTGATCTGACTTACAAAAAGGTAATTCATCATGCACTTTCCAAGTACAATTGCTACTGGCCTGTATTTTAGCTTCAGAAGATAGCGGCTGAACGAGATGAAGAGAGGCATGCTAACTTTAAACAGCACATGGGAGCACACTATCGGCCGGGCCAACTAGTATTTATCGATGAAACAGGAGTCAGTCGTCAGACAGGAGCCCGGACACAGGTTGGGCACCTTGTGGAGAACGCGTGCGATGCTGGGATTTCTTTATTCGCGGTGGAAAGTATGTGGTCCTACAATTTAGATGATGCAAGACAGAAGCTTCTGCAATGCCAAAACGGCATTATATTGACATCTCAAATATCTGTTCTCAGACGGAAATGTTGGATTAGCACAAGAGGACGAAAACTGGTTTCAACATTTAAAACGTGCCCCATTATCATTATCGCTACTTCAAGCGCGTTTGTCAAGTTACAGTCAAATCCTCCAGACCCCCTCGTATCCGACTAATATCCTCAAGTGCGGTCCGAAGTAGCTCTGTAAGGAACTTGAGCCCATGTTGCTCCTCCGCCAGAATCTACACGAGACGCCAAGATAAGAGAGTTCTTCACGTGGGCTGACAAGGTTAGAAGGAACTGACCAATTTGATTTCCTCAAAGGCTCGCTCATCGATCACAGCCCAGCCCCCTTCGCGATCTAGCGAAGTTTTCCCGGCTTCTCTCGACGCCTTGACCCTCCCAACCAGGCCCCAAAGCTCCCCGACTCGTCCTCCTATTCTTCCCAACCCCCCAGGGCCTCTTAACTCGGTTTCGATAGACTCCAGCTTACTTCGTAAAAGTTCCTCATCTTGTTGTATAGGTGTTGACCGTATGGATGGTATGAAAAGGTGGAGGTGGTGTACTAGTTTAGTGATCCGTGATTGAAGGTCTGCCTGCGCGTGGGAGAGTGTGGACAGTCGTGGCGACGTCTTGAGCACATGTGCCTCAGTCATTTTATTGATTTCTTGTTTTAGCATCTATGGAAAGTGCAATTGGTTGGTAACGATTGGAAAACAAGTGATTTATAGACTTCACTTTCATCCCCGCAAGTTGTGCTTCAGTTTGTGCCTTCTGAGCGGCGATCCTCTTTTTGAGATCTTCGAAACCGATAGCATGAGCCAGAACAAGCCTTGAAGCAAGCGGTGAGAGGATAACGATAGGGTTTCGAGTGAATTGACTGTACCTGGATGGCAACGGATTATCTCGCACAGCCCTCTGCCAGAGTGTCTCGTTTGTGGCAGTTTGCGGACGTCCATACTTGTGTACTTCCGATTCATCAACTAGATTATAGAAAAAATACTGTAAAACACTACGTGTTAAGTCCACACAGGGATTCGGAAATGAGGTAGCCCCACCTGGAACTTGCAATTCGGCGAAGATGTGTCCCATGCATTATGGATTGCTTTAAGTTGTGCCTCTACGGAATTTGAATCTATTGACTGAGTAGTCACAGGAACACTTGTATTAGTCGATGACCCAAACAGGCCTGTGGTTGTGCTGGATATGGGTTGAGTCGTCGAGCCAAACGTCGTTGCTGGCTGTGTGGTAGTATTATTATTCCCCAGTAAAGTAGATCCGAAAGCAGGAGTAGTGCTAGTGCCTGACGTGCCGAAAGGGGATGTTGCTGGCTTGCCGAATATGTTGGTGGATGATGTGGTGGGCTGCTGAGCATTGGTTTGACTTTGAGGCTGTCCAAAATTTCCAAATATATTGGATCCCGTTGTCAGCTGGGTGTTTGTTGGAGGAGCGAGGTTGGAACCAAATATGTTAGTGCTGGTGCTTGGTTGTTGTTGTGGTTGTTGTGGTTGTTGTGGTTGCTGCTGCTGTTGGCCCGAAGCAGCACTAGTTGCTGTCGAAGGAAACGAACTAAATATGTTGCTCGTGCCCGTGGTAGTACCGCTTCCAAAGGCAGGTGTATATGTTGACGCAGGTGCAGTCGTGCTAGTTGACGCGCCAAATGCAGGGGTAGGATTGGATGTAGAAGCAGTGGTGGTACCAAATGGACTGGTCTGTTGCTGCGGTGGCTGACTACTCTGCTGGAGATTATTCTGCATGTTTTGAGGGGCCTGCTGTGCAAAAGTAGCGAATGGGGGTGGGTTGGATGTTGATGCAGACCCAAAGACGGATGGTTTAGGCGCCGAAGAGTTGTTTTGCGCGAATGCGCTAAACGCGTTCGGCGTGGAAGATGAACCTGTCAAAGCCCCTTAGAAAGTGGTAATGCCTGAGGAGGAAGATGGGGGTGCCTACCAAATGCGGACATCCTTTATCCAACACTAGCTGTTCTGACGGCTCAACTGGCTCAAGAGTGAGCTGAGGAGTGGTCTTCACGTGATGTCGGCCGCTCCCGTCTAATTCAGTTCTTGGCTGCAGTTCAACACCAATCATGAGCTCGACACCAGCATCAAGTGAGCACGGTGTCGTTCAGAAGGTGGGCCTTGGCTTAGGACTCATTCGTGTCTTGCTCAAGGAGACCCTCAGTATGATCGCTGTCTAGCAGATCTAATTGTGAAGTCGTGCGTGAATATTATCACACCTGCATACAAATGTAAACGCGTCTTGACAGTGGCATCGGCTTTGGGGTCGGCGTGGTTGCTTCAGTTATTTTCTTTCGACGTATGCAATCTATACTTTTGTCTCTTCATCAGACTCACTGATGAACTTCTCACAAAGGTCGTGCATGGCCTATTGCTCTCACTACCGGTGTGTACAATGATTTGTCCCACGAGGCTTTGTCTGAGTGTGCTGCATCAGGTTTCGGCGCTGGCATATCATACGCTGACTGTGACAGGAGTTTCAATCCTGCCCGCATTCCTGGCACCCGTATCATCCCATCCACAGAGTCAAAATGAATTCGTATGTCCCTTATCCCTTACGCTCCCCTCCGCTTTGAAAGGTTCAGTTATGGCCTGAACAGACTCTCATCGAACGCACCTCAATTATGTGGTCCTCCGTTGATCGTTCTGAGCGACACCGACTTGGTCAACGTTTGCCTGCTGAAATAGACTTGTCCGCATAGCCTGTGTGTCTTCGGGACGCGGTAGTTTACGCTGTTCTTCGCCCAGATACATGCGTCTGTATAGAATAAACTATCCATTTAATTCGCGTAGTTACTACCAGCAACTCCTGTGCTTAAAAAAACCTCGAACTGAGATACTCACTGTTGTAACGACCAGAAAGGGTGCACTTATGATGATTGTCCTCAGCTGTCTTTGCCTTGGTGTTGGACCAGAATGGGCATTTCCAGTTGGTGGCATCTACATATACTGCAAGCTTGGGGATGCCACACGCGATGTCCAAGTTAATTTCCCACGAACCAATTGGCGGGCGCTTCCGGCTACGGGTCAGCTCCGTCCGCGTCGCTTCGTACTCTCAGTATTGTGTCTACCGTATACTGTGTTTGAGATACTGCCCGTATAATTTCCCGCAACGTCCTTCCTGAAAAGATTCATCATTGGCGACTAAAAGGAGGCCATTAACAGTGTGCCCGAGATGCCAGTACTCAAAGCTGTGCGCGGTTGGCTATGGGACCGGCGGAGGGGATTGTTAACAGCTGCTGGATTTTTCGGGGGTTTCTATTTAATGGCGCAGTACATTTGGGGGAGATTGGAAGAGATGCGCGACAAAGTCATCCAAGATCGAGCTGCGAGGGAAAAGTACGTGGTCACTTAAGCTCGAGCACATTGGGTATATCTATGCTAACTAATCGTCATGCTCTTGAATTTCACAACTGGTGCATCGAATTGAATGTCCTGATATGCCTATGCTGGCCGTGCATTTGGGTTGATGATCCCGATGTTTTCAAAACGACAGCCTCCGGAAACGTTTCCAACAAAACCAAGAGGATTGTAGCTATCATATTCTTGCCCTCTTGCCGACCCTAGGAAATTCCATACTAGAAGAAATGGATGTAGAACGAATCACTCTTCAACTCCAACAATCACGCACGACCACATCTCAGGCGAAGAATTCACCTTTGAGCGCCGCCCATTTACAGCCTGAAGGGCCTTCGAGGGGATTATCCGACTCTGTAATATCCGAACCTACAAGCACAGCTGCGAGCGACTTGACAGACGATGGACCCCACCCACCTCATTCCCGCCCCCAATCATCCTCGTCAGCACCTCATGTAAACCCATCATCTCATTTCCAACCGCCACCTCCAGGAGCTTCTGCAACATCCCACGCCGGTCCATCGTTCGATACTTCCGGAATGCAATCTTCGTCTGCTGGCCTTGATTGGGTCACAGAGTTCCGAGCACAGCAGGCGCAGCTCGCAAGGTCACTAGCATTGACAGGCGCCGTGGATGGAAGTCCAACTAGCAGTCACGAGACAGGGTTCAGCGATAGTGGCGTAAGTGGGGGCTACGTTACTGAGGGCACAGAGAGCGAAATATCCATCGAAGGGAGCGTTGCAGAGAGCGGCGTCGTGAGTCCATGTTGTTGCCTAGTGTCGGGAAATGAATTTAATTATTCGCTTTGTAATCTCGGCTAGCTGGTTGACGCTTCCTCGGTAATAACGCGCCAATCTGCTGCACCAGAATTGATAACGTTCCAGCCTCCTTCTCCCGAAATACATAAACACGTGCCCTTGACATCAAAGGAAAAGACAGAGTTATGGCGTGAGATGAAAGTATTAGGTTCGTGTGCACGATGTTGTCGCCGAAAGGCTCATCTAATGCCGCTCGCATTGGTCCAGCTTTCAGCCGAGCTCTAACGATCATTTATACTACAACCTTGCTCGCACTCCTGACTCACATCCAACTTAATCTCATAGGGACTCGGAAATATGTCGAGTCTGTCCGTCAACTTGCTCGAGAGGCACGTCAAGCTGAGGAAGTCACTGCCAACTTTTCCATTGGTGGTTTGTTTTTTGGCGATGGTCCTGGTGAGGACGAGGATGAAGAAGAGCCTGGACGTTGGGAAGGCGGTATTGATGAGTTAGAATCACTCACGGAGGAGACTGAGCGCAAGTTTCTGACGATGAGTTGGTGGTTGCTTAATGTGGGTTGGAGGGATGTAGGGGAACGAGTTAGAGAGGCTGTCGAGAATGTTTTTCAAAGGTCCGTCCGCTCTGGTTTCGCTTCTTTTGCTTTGCCCCCTCCGTTTCCGCTTGTTTTTCTTGGCATTTGTTTTAACTGAAAAGAAAATGCTGACTATTATTCGTCTCTTCTATTTCCGACAGCGTATCCCTCAAAGCAAATTTGGGTCCGCAAGATGTCGAGCGGTTAATAAGTGAGGTACGGAAAAGGGTGGAATTTGAGAACGAATCCGACGGAGCGGACATCTCAGCCGAGGCACGTCGTGTAAAGTGAGTCCATATATCTAGATAATTTTTTCAGTCGCTTTCCTCCTTCATTCCGACCCTTTGTGGCGCGGATAGCTTCACGATTGCCCTTTTGTGGCGTGCGTCTTCATATTCATTTCCGGCGTCTCATCCCGAGGCTGAAAACATTAGCCTAAGGAGTTGCCACTGTTGTTGGAAGCTCCGAGAGGTTTAGCGTTCGCAACAAATAACCCGATATCACCCGTCCTGATTCATTTTTAAGTCATCTGCACCTTATTCTGCGTTTCATTCATTCGTCCCCTTCCCATCATTTTAACTCTTAACCAATTCACTGATATACTTTGTCTTCACTTTCCATGATTGTCTACGCCTCACCTCGTCAAATTCGTATCTGCTCTCCGCACTAGCTTCCTCCGAGCACTTCTCCCACCATCTTCTCATTCCGATCATGAAACAGAATTTGTTCTCCTCCAAGGCGGACTTTCTTCCCATGACGCCTACATAGACCCGATGCTCCGTGCATTACTAGACGAGACTTCTGCCTTCGCATCAAGTGCAGATTTCGGTGTCGTACTTGGCGTTGCAATCGAAAGAGGCGTAGAAGCGTTGATGCGCAATTTGAGAGAAAACGTTTATGGGATGGGAAGCCACGAAGGTGGGGGGGATTATGATGAGAGTGGGAGAGGGGTCGAAGAAAGGGCCGAGAAGGTGAGGCTTGCGGCGATATTGCCGGGAGTATCTCGGTGGGCTCATTTGGCGGTTAACGGAATTCCGAATGAACTTGTCGAGGTGAGTGGCGAGCGCATGGTTCTGTTCCCCCTTTCTGGGCTCTTCTGAGAGCTGGACTGTCGCCTCCTCGTGGGGTGATTCCTTGGTGGCGGTGTTATCTTTGATCACAAAAATTATTACGGTTATTGATAATATCTTCTTTCCTTTTTCTCTATACTCCCGCATCGTGGGCCCCGGAAAACCTGTGCTTTGCATGAATGGCCTGCTCCGACACGGGTTGGCCACGCTCGATTGATTATCTCGCCAACACTTCTGGGTCTTCGTCACTCTTACGTCCGTGGACGGGTGCGTTGACCCTGCGATTCGTGGGATGGTTTTGATATATTTTCATTCTGCCTTGAACTCACTGGTTCGGCGCGCTAACTCGGTGCAATCCCACATTCCCTTCCAAACCGACTTTATTGCGTGAAAGGCGCTGGGCGAAATGCAAGAGATGATAGCATTCTCTGCGTTGTTGTTTAGTTCATTCCAGGACAAGATATGACGGATGCGTGGAATGATAATGTTTGTTGTGCATGACCAGTTTCCGTCGCCAGCCGGCCTGGCAGCTATATCGCGTTCATGGGTTGTCCGATGGGTTGTGCCTGCATAAAAAAAAAGGAGAAACTGATGTCTATCGCCCCCGTTTGCTGGCTTATAGCAGCTACCGCTATGTTTACATATTTTGGGGGTCCCAAGATGTAACGCTGGTCAGTCCCACACTGATTTATCACTTGAAATTTGTGAGCCGTGCCTTGCTGTCTCAAATATCAAAAAGGAACAAAGCAGTTTCCATCCGAGAAAAGTAAGTCGCAAATCAAGACAAGATCGTGATGCATCAGAAAAAGCCCGCGGTGCGTATTGCCCGTTCTCACTTTTCATCCATGCATGTGTTGGGTGAAGTGTGGAGATTGCCGTGTGACTCTCAGCATCTAATGACCCACATGAATGGATCGATCGGGTTATCCAGGGTTTGGATGACAGCAGTGTAGTCAAAGTACATTGAGGCAGGAAGCGTGGTATGTGCATATGACGGAAGGTGTTGCTTCTTGTGACAGAGCATTTATGGTAATGTACATTTAGTCCTCATTTCCAAATCCTTAGGCAACGGCGAGGCAGGATATATATAAGAGACCACCCCCGAAAGTGGATTTCAAACCCAAACCCATCCCCCCACTCCAAATCTCTTCTCCAAGTCCCATCGACAAGTCAAAGTAGTTGATCGCGAAAATGGCAGAAGTCAAGGCTTTCCCTGTCGCTCCCCGCACGAATGGTTCAGACCCAACACGTCCCAAAGTTCATGTTGGACCTGACATCGCCGCGTACAAAACGTTCCACGGCCAGACGATTGGCGAGCAGAGCGATGAGTGGTGGGCTAACGTGAGTTCATGTCCATCTGATTCTGGACTCTCTCTCGATTCGAGAAGCGCGCTCCAGAGAGAGGGTTATGCGAAGACATTGCGCAATTTACTGATGGACTCCGTTGCTTCCTCCATACGTCTCCGATCATTGCACATCCCCATCCTGTCGATTGTTCAACTCTTCGATATCGACCCATACAACTTGATCTCGTTGCGGTCCCCGTCTCCTCTCGTCCTTGTGATTCGATTTCTCCACACTTTCGATACATGGTCCAAAAATGCTTGCTTCCGAACGATTGGAAATGCCATGTAAATTCGGCTCCTTGGTACCCCACGGCAACCGATTTTCATCACGCCCTGGATCTTGAATGGGTGGCGATCATTCTGGAATTTTTCTTTTGTGCCTTGTGCCTTGGTTTCCTTGTTCTAGGCCGCTCGCGAGCTACTTTATTGGCATCGTGACTTCAAGACTGTCCGTACCGGATCCTTTGAGCGCGGAGATATAGCGTGGTTCGTCGAGGGCGCTTTGAACGCCAGCTATAATTGCGTTGATCGATGGGCGTACAAGAACCCCGACAAGGTGTGTTCATTTACGTTGTCTTTGGGCTGTCAACTCACCTTGCTTGTCGCAACCTCAAAAAGCCCGCTATCATATACGAAGCCGACGAGCCTTCTGACAGTAAAATCATCACTTTTTCTCAGCTTTTCAATGAAGTCTCCCGTATCGCTAATGTACTCAAATCCTTCGGCGTCAAGAAAGGCGACACTGTCTCGGTTTACCTTCCCATGACCTGGCATGCTGTAGCCGCCTTCCTCGCCTGTGCCCGAATTGGCGCCATTCACTCCGTCGTCTTCGCCGGATTCTCATCTGAAGCTCTCAGGGACCGCGTGAAGGACTGTGGATGTCGTGTAGTTATTACCAGCGATGAAGGGAAGAGAGGCGGCAAGACAATTGCTACAAAGGCTATTGTCGATGCTGCCCTCAGGGAGGTTGAAGGTGTGGAGCATGTACTCGTTTTGAAGAGGACCGGAAAGCCTGTGCCTTGGGTTGAGGGAAGAGACAAGTGGTGGCATGAGGAGATCGAGAAGGTTCCCGCTTATTGCGTTCCAGAGGTGATGAGTGCTGAGGATCCGTTGTTTATTCTTTATGTGAGTGCTCTTTTTCACTGCTTTTGAGGGAAGCTTCATTTCCTTCGGTTCTATTGAGTGCTGATCAGTGGCTTTTCTATTCTATTCCTTGGTTTAGACGTCTGGTTCTACGGGTAAGCCAAAGGGTGTTGTACATACCACCGGTGGTTACCTTCTGGGTGCGGCACTCACCGTCAAGTACGTCTTTGATGTTCATCCCGAGGACAAATTTGCATGCATGGCCGACGTCGGTTGGATCACGGGTCACACGTAAGTTTAATATTCTCCTTTCCTTCCTTGGGACAATCCAATTCAAACTGTATAATCAACACTGCTGACTCAATTCCTTTCCCTTCCAATTACAGGTACATTATCTACGGACCTCTTGCAAATGGCGTGACAACGACCGTATTCGAATCAACCCCCGTCTACCCAACTCCCTCTCGTTACTGGCAAACGGTCGATAAACACCAACTTACGCACTTCTACAGTGCCCCAACTGCTATTCGTCTGCTCCGTCGTCATGGTGGAGAACATGCCGCCCCCTACAAACTCACCTCTCTCCGAGTCATAGGCACTGTAGGTGAACCCATCAATCCTGAGGCGTGGTTATGGTACAACGAACACGTGGGAAGGGGACAATGTGCCATCGTTGACACGTGGTGGCAAACCGAAACTGGTAGCATCATGATTACACCTTTGCCTGGTGGTATTCCCACTAAACCCGGTAGCGCAACGTTGCCGTTCTGGGGAATTAATCCTGCAATTGTTGACCCTACTTCGGGGAAGATCGTTGAGGATGAGGCTGTGGCTGCTGGTCGATTGGGTGAAGGAAAGGTTAAACCTCACGAGGGTGTGCTAGTGATTACGAAGCCTTGGCCAAGTATCGCGAGGACCATTTGGAGGGATCATGCGAGGTATTTAGAGACATACATGAAGGTTAGTTAGTTACACTTCACATTCATAAGGTGCATTGGGCTAACCATTGGTTCGACTATTTCGTAGCCTTACCCCGGATACTTTTTCACCGGTGACGGTGCTGCTCGTGATGCAGATGGATACATTTGGATCAAAGGGCGCGTGGATGGTGAGTTACCTCTCCCCGTTCCCTGTGCATTTGGGCGAGGGTTTGGCTAATGTTCTTGTCCCAGACGTCATCAACGTTTCCGGACATCGTCTCTCGACCGCTGAGATCGAAAGCGCGCTCATCCTCCATAGTGGTGTTGCCGAGACTGCCGTCATTGGAACTGCGGATGATTTGACCGGCCAAGCCGTTAATGCTTTTGCTACTCTCAAGCCGTACGTCTGTCTCTCTTTGTCCCCTAATTCCACACCGTCTCACTTCTTCCCTTGTGTTGTTTCAGCGACTTCCAATACAACAAGGAAGACGACTCCTCCCTCGTTAAAGAGCTCATCCTCCAGGTACGAAAGACCATCGGGCCGTTCGCAGCGCCGAAACGAATCTTCATCGTTTCGGATCTACCGAAGACTCGGTCGGGAAAGATCATGCGGAGGATCTTGAGAAAGATCGTGGATGGACAGGGGGACCAGTTGGGTGATTTGAGCACCCTTGCAGATCCGAGCGTCGTGGAGGATATCAAGAAGTATGTGGCCAAAGCTCAGGCAAAATTGTAGGGAGAGCGAGCGGGGGAGTCCCCTTTACCTATGTGCTGGCTGGCTTCCTCTTCTTCCTTCCTTTCCTTTTTTCAAAAGATCTCTTTCTGTGAATGATATCGGTATGTAATAAAGTTGTTTCTGTCATGTTTCTCTCTCCTGTTATGAAGTGTACGTACATACCTATGATCTGTATGGTCTGTTATAAAGTCGTTGTCCTCGTGCGTCAATGGGCATGCGATTGCGCAATTTTTGTGGAAAGAGTTTACGGAGCTACTACGTAGTACGGAGTGTGCATCTCTTCTATGATCAGGGCGAAGCTCGATCGGCTCGGACCCAGAAATACCTTGCATATGCATGACGGTATATATAATATAAGGTCGCAGTATACGGCATCACCGATCTCCCACAGCTGCGAAGTTGGGGCACACTGACCCCCTCCCTCTGCAGGAATGGGGAATGAGGTGGGTTTAAGGTACGAAGATCGATGAAATTAACAGCGAAGATCTTCATACACGCCAGAAAATTGAATACAGTTAGTCATGTTGCCAAGCCTCAAGTGATGACAAAATTATATTTCTGGACTAGCTCATGCAGCATCTATTGTCCGTGGGCAGAACTTATGTTAGCGTTCCAGCTACGGGGGTCATACTTGAACTAGCGCATGTTCGTGTGGTAACACATAAAGGGTGAGAAAATTGTGGCGCCGCAGTAGTACAGAAGTTATACAATGACTTGTGTCTTCCCCTCTACTCACGGAAGAGTCCTAATAAAGTGAGGATGACTACTTTCACCTCGCTGAGGGAGAAAGGCCAAGGGATACATGCGGAGTATAAGAGGGTTGCGTTTCTCACTCAATGGAAGTGACCAGATCTGATACAATTGCCGCATGAGTCGCAGAAAGCGGCTCAAAATGATACGGCGTTGGAAGGAGCTCCCTATCAAACGTTTTGACAAAGTATTAGGTATCCATCTTGTTGATTCGATAGCCGGGATGAAGTTACACTTACCGGACCAACCCTCCAGTATATTCTACCCTCGGCAAGATATCTTTCCCATCTGAATCTTTTGCAGGCAGGATACGAGTCGTAGCAAGAAGCGTAACAATGGTAAACCAGAGCATCGAATCAGCAAAGTGGATCCCAGGACATTTCCTACATAAGCGGATGGACAAATTCAGGTTTGTAATTGTCAACACTTGGGAAGAAGGGTGTGCCACCTTCGTCCGTATCCAAAAACGTACGTTGTGGGATCCAGGGGTGTTCCTGCATCCTCAGCGTCAAATCGAAAAGTCGGAGGGACCAAAAAGCGTTCGGGAATGAAGGATTCCGGGTCACGATGCAGGTTCTCGTCTCGGGATATGTGCCTGTGGGGGAATAAGCAAGCAAGTATTCCCAAAACAGCTTGAACGAACCAGGAGTTCGCAATGATGGTCGCGTCCTTTGAGGTGGACGAAAGGTTAATACTCATTTAATCGCGTAGTTGGAAAGCCTGCCTTGGGGATGAAATACCCTTTTTCGTGGCTCTATCAGATTAATCCCAACCCTGTTATCATTATGGCCATACTTACCCTCATATTCAACGCTCTCCGAACACCGGTACGGGAGGGGAATGGGCGCGGCAGGCTGCCACCGTAATGTTTCTTTCAAGATAGCTTCGACATACGGAAGACTCTCCCGGCTTAAAAATTCAGTATCGCATTAACCAATCAGGAACGTATATAGATGTGGGTAAGCGGGATTGGTGCTGACTCTGCAAATGTAGGCAATCTATTGCATCCGATTACAGATTCAATTTCCTGTTGGGCCCGCTTCTGAGCCTCCGGATTAAGAATCATAGCGCAGACGAAAGTCCCAACTGTAGTGGCCGTAGTGTCTACAGAGGCGCCTACTGGAAGGGTGGAAAAATGAATATTACGCGCATGGTGCACTAATGCACTAAAGGGAGGCTTTACCAAGAGCCCCTGAGAGATATTTTAGATCCTCGTAATCCCCTTCTAACCCTATATCCCTCAGGATATTGGCCGTAAATGATGTATTGCTTGCTCCTTCCAGCTGAAGAGCAGATATTAGTCACGCAGGCATATCGCTGAGCGAAGTGGGGAGAGGAGTGAGGCGGCGTACAACGTCTTGCTTGGTCACCTCAAATGGTAATTCCAGAGAGTTGTGGGCGATCTTAGCCCAAGTCCTTGCTTGACGTTTAAAACCGGCGAATGGGAACCAAGATGGAACATGCTTCACTGAAACCTGATTGATATGACCGGTGGTGAAATCTTATTCTTGTCGGATCTCACATATAGGGAATGTATCGACAAGGAACGCTCCGGGCTGGCTCGCTTCGCCAAAAGTACACGCCGCCCTGCTCATGATCGTGACGAGCTTGATTCAAGGGCAACTGAATGTCAGAATTGCAATGGGATGAGCGAGAAATATACAGACCGGGTCTTCGGGTGATGCAGGAGTGATTCCATACAGAGACTCAAAAATAATCTTCAACACGGTGCTTGTGTTGAAGTTATCCTTTTCTTTCTATTCAATCTCACTCCATATGAGTCACATGACTACTGAGTCGGACTTTACTGTTTCTACTACTTGTATAAACACTAAAGTCATCCTCAGGCAAGTCTCCCTGTATATACTGTTTCTACTACTTGTATAAACACTAAAGTCATCCTCAGAGGTGCCATAACCTGAGTTACAACAGGTTATGAGCCCAGACTACTGAGGGCTTTCAGAATTTTCGCGCTTAGGCTGACTTTTCACCTATCTGCTTACTTCTCTATCCACCTGGTTGAAAACACACCTCCCTGCTGCTCAAATCAACCTCTGAAAGTCTCTCTACGCTAGTTTCTGCCATAGCACCCTGAGATTTGTTTCAATCGACGCGAAATCGCTACCACGTTATCACCGTTCGACGAACTCGACACCCTCCGATTTTCGCGCCGATCGAACCACACACTCTGCTGATAATTGACAAACAATTCCATCATCTTGGCACTGCTCTAGCTGCTCTATCCTTTGACGAATCGCGCTAAAATTTATACTCGACCTACTTCGTATATCATTCTCGCAGCGCTGTCATTCCCGCATCGATCGCATCACTCATTCATCCAAAAAATCGAGTGTTAAAATATAGCAATTCTTAAAACAGCTACAGCACCTCAGCAATTGTGTAGATCGTTTTCAAATCGATAGACAACATACATCGTTTAGGTCTCTATCATCACGCAAATTTTCGCGACGATCACATCACTCGCTTGCCTGTTATAAGGCAAACATTTCTGCGATTTGAAACTGCTCTAGCGGCTCTACTTTCTTATCGATCGCTTTGAAACTCGGACCAACAATTTGAACATTGACGACCTTTCGTCCCTCCAATTTTCGCACCGATCGCATTAGTCGTTTGCACAATATCACCACATCCAACCTCCTGCATCCCATGTCCTATCAACACATTCCCAGCTGCACTCCCACTGCTTCCCCATCCAAATCCCTCCTTCACTGCACCTTTTGCAACACCAGGGGTTCACACAAGACCATTAATTGTCGGAAAATGAAGCAGTCTAGAAAACACTGTGCAAATAAGCGAAAAAGGACTCAGCCTCAGGAACTTGCTGGCAATGCCAGTGCCCTCTCTTCTGTTTCCAGCTCAGCACCAGATTATTGGATTGCAGACACAGGTGCAACTTCCCACATGACTCCACATCGTCAGTGGTTCAAGGAATATACTCCTTGCAAAGTCCCTGTTCGTCTCGCAGACAACAATATCATCTATGCTGCTGGTGTAGGGACCATTGTCTTTACTCCAATCAAGAATAAAGTCCCCTTACGCCAAATCGAGTTCTCCAATGTCCTCCATGTTCCCTTACTTGCCAACAACCTCCTATCTGTTCTCTCCCTCACTAGAAAGCACAACTTTGAGGTGACCATCAAGGAGTCAACAATGAAGTTCACTCGTAGTTCTCAACTTCTGTTTGAAGCTTCTGTCTCTGATGAGAACAGTGCCTTGTTGGATGGTTCTACAGTGGTTCAGTCTGCTCTGAGGGCCACTCCCTCATCTCCTGATCTCTGGCATCATCGTTTCTGCCATATTGGTAGAAATCGACTCAAACAACTTATCTCTGGGACATATGTGAAGGACTTGAACATTGGGACCTCTTCTCTCTCTTCCCCACTCCCTGACATTTGTGAACACTGCATAGCTGGCAAACACCATCGCTCCCCTTTCCCTCATGCTGCTTCAAATAGACGTACTCAGCCTCTAGAACTTATACACTCAGATGTCCATGGTCCAGTGTCAGTTCAAACCCCTGAGCAGCATAGGTATTGGGTTAGCTTTGTGGATGACTGCACTCGCTATCGCACTATCTACCTCCTTCACAAGAAGTCAGATGTCTTTGCTGCCTTCAAGATCTTCAAGGCTTTTGCTGAGAACCAAACTGGCTATCGCATCAAGGCACTTAGGGATGATAAAGGGGGGGAGTACATGAGTAGGGAAATGGATGATTTTATGAAGGAACATGGCATTCTTAGGGAGCACACTACCACCTCAACTCCTCAGCAGAATGGAGTTGCTGAACGCTCTAATCGAATTCTCGATGAGGGCATCACCTCCATCCTGAATGAAGCTAAGTTACCTGGCTCATTCTGGGGACATGCTTTGGGTGCTCTACTCCATGTCCTGAATCGCTCTCCCTCTTCTGCTGTGGAGGGGATCACACCTTATGAGGGCTGGTTTGGACACAAGCCTTCTGTCTCTCATTTCAGAGTTTTTGGGTGCCAGGCATATGTGCATATTCAAAAGGACAAGAGAACAAGTTTCCAACCAAAGTCTGAACGTTGTATCTTCATTGGCTACCCAGCTGACTTCAAAGGTTGGAGATTCTACAACCCATCCACTAAGAAGATTATCATTTCTAGGGATGCAGTGTTTGATGAACAAACTATGCCTGGGATTTCTAGCCACTCCATTATTTCTTATCTCCCTCTACACTCTAACTCTAACTCTAACTCAGTGCCAGAGTCAGGGGGAGGTACTTCATCTCAAAATCGCTTTACTCCATTGCCTAACAATGAGTTCTTGCCCTCTGACACTGATTCCCATCCACTTCCTAAACTACCTCCTTCACCTTCTCTTTCACCTTCTCCCATTCCCTCACCTTCTTCAACTCCTGCTCCTCCTGAACCTCCCACTCTTCGTAGGACCACTAGATCCAATGCTGGTAAACCCCCTGGTGAGTGGTGGAAAATAAAGCCTGCCCCTTCACCCCCAGTCAGCAAGTGGGAAGCTAGAGAGTCCACCCCTGGTGTTGAATCCTCTGAGTCTGATGCAGATGCTGAAGAACTCCATGAGGAAGATTCATCAGAGGATGAACTGGCTATGGCTTCTGCTGCTGCCCTACTTGCCAAATCCCAGTCTAAGGCATTGTCCCTTGAGGAGATGGTTGAGTTTTCCTTAGCTACTTCTACAGTTGAGCCCAAGTCAATGAAAGAAGCAAAAACACGAGATGATTGGGCTCTCTGGCATGAAGCTGCTTTAAAGGAATACACCCAAATGCTCTCTCATAACACTTGGGACTTAGTGCCTCTTCCAAAGGGGAGGAAACCAGTTGGATCAAAGTGGGTTTTCAAGATCAAGCAGAACTCTGATGGATCCATTGAAAGGTACAAGGCTAGAATTGTGGCACAAGGCTTCTCCCAGAAACCCCACTTGGATTACACAGAAACCTTTGCCCCTGTCACCAAATTTTCCTCCCTCAGAACCATTCTAGCAATCTCTGCCATTGAGGACTTGGAGATTCATCATATGGATGTGTCATCTGCTTTCTTACATGGTGATCTCTCTGAGGATATCTATATGGTGCAACCAGAAGGATTTGTGGAGCCTGGGAAGGAGCATCTAGTTTGCCACTTGAAGAAGTCTCTTTATGGTCTGAAACAAAGCCCTCGCCAGTGGTATCAGAAGTTGCATGAGACCTTCACAGATCTGGGCTTCAAGAGGTGTCCTAGTGACAATTCCATTTGGGTTTGGGCCAAGGACAAGGTCAAAGTCATTATTCCAGTCTATGTGGATGACCTCACTCTAGCCTGCAATGATTTGGCTGCTCTAACTTCACTCAAAGCAGAGCTTAAGTCCAAATTTGAGATGAGGGACTTGGGGGAGCTCAGTTACATCCTTGGACTAGAAGTGCACAGAAATCGACCAAATCGCAAGATCTGGCTTTCCCAACGAAAACATACACAGGACATCTTACAACGCTTCAACCACCAACATTCCAGGCCTGTTGTCACACCCCTTGACCCCCAAATCACTCTTTCTAAAGTCGACCATCTGTCTGGAGAGGAAAAGGAGTTTATGAAGGGTGTGCCATACTTGAGTGCAATTGGGAGCCTCATGTATTTGGCCATTGGTACCAGACCTGACATTGCATATGCTGTTGGGTTGCTCAGTCGTTTCAACTCATGTCCAGCCAAAATTCACTGGCATGCAGTTCAGAGAGTATTCAGGTATTTGGTGGGGACTTTGGATTTCTGTTTGGAGTTTGGGCCTTCTATTTCTGGGGGAGTTACTGCCTCTGTCTTTTCTGACTCTGACTATGCTGGTGACACAGAGAAGGCTTGCTCTACTTCTGGCTATGCCTCATTCATTGGAGCATCTTGTGTCAACTGGTCTAGCAGACGTCAAGATGTTGTGGCCAAGTCCACCACAGAGGCAGAACTGATTGCAGCCAATGCAGGAGCATCAGATGGGATATGGATGGTGCATTTACTTCAAGAACTTGGTTATCCTCAAGCCTGCTTCCCACTGAAAATGGACAACCAATCTACCATCAAGGTCAGCAAAAATCCAGAACATCATGGGAGGATGAAACACTTGGATACCAAGTATTATTGGATCAGAGACCAGGTGGACTTGGGAAATTTGAGGGTTGAATGGGTGCCATCTAGGGGTAATTGTGCAGATATTCTAACCAAGGCACTGCCTAGAGATCTTCACCAAGAGCAATGCTCATTATTGGGACTTAGAAGATGGAGCTAGATTGGGGGGGAGTGTTGAAGTTATCCTTTTCTTTCTATTCAATCTCACTCCATATGAGTCACATGACTACTGAGTCGGACTTTACTGTTTCTACTACTTGTATAAACACTAAAGTCATCCTCAGGCAAGTCTCCCTGTATATACTGTTTCTACTACTTGTATAAACACTAAAGTCATCCTCAGAGGTGCCATAACCTGAGTTACAACAGCTTGATGCGGAACTATTGAGACGAAATCCATCATAATGGGGAGGACGGGCTCACAATTTGAAAATATTCGCAAAGGTGTCTGGGGATGTCCAGCACGGCTTCAAAAGCTCATGCACCAATTTTTCGATCACTGGATGGAAGTTTTGAATGGCAGGCTTCCCGAGGTACTGATGGGCCAATCTCCGCATCCAGTTGAACCTCTGACCTTGACTGGCCAGCCCGATAGTTTTTTCCCAGCCGACGCTGTGAAGTGTAAGCGCTCGACAGTCAAGAAGACACATATCCTCTTACAGCTCGCCGCACATCGTCAATTTGGGACGATTGGCAAATATGGCAGCTTTATCGATGACAAGATCTTGAATGGCTTTGCGAGAGTTCAAAATGAGTATGGGTTGCCCCATAGCGGACAAATAAACAACGTCCCCTATATGTTATGTTAATTCCTCTTGGCTCTATCACGAGGTTTTGTATCAATAGCGTAGGGTACGTGCCATATTGTTCTTTTAACTTCTGGTAATACACCCATGAGTGAGATACTTTAAGTTCTGTAGCATTTCCAATGATTGGATAGCCTTTTGGTCCAGGAGGGTAGGGTAGCTTCCTTTTGTTTCTCTGCTGGAATAGCCAAGTGATAGCAAGGACCACACCCACGAAGAAAAAGTGGTACATCCTGAACAGGGAGATATGGAGTACTAGAAAGTACCCAAAGACCCAATATATAGAGGGATTTGTCCTGCACGCTGGATCTGTAATGAACACGCAGGCAAAGAACCGGAAGTCTAGCCTATATAATCCCACCAGCGAAATGATCGGGCTAATACAGAATGCCCGATAACCCCTCATATATTCATAAAGTACGACCGATACCCTGCCTAAACACCCCAAAATGCTAGTTCTGCCAAGCGGGTACTCCTGTTCCACTTGCTCCGGTTCTCAACCCCATGGCAACAACCCAATAGCTCAGCAGTATAGTATCCCAGCAACGTGAACATCCAGAGGACCGTGTTGGCGCGGCAACCAAGGCTGTGGCTTTACATAGTCCCGAGTTGTCTAATACTATCTTCCTGGACCAATGTCGGCCGTCCCTGGAAACGTCCCTTTGGAGGGGGATTCGGAGAGGAATTCAGAAGCACTACTAGTGAGGCATAGACGATCCCGTGCTCATATTAACAGTCCATGCCAAATCCCATGGCTCCGTACTACCGTCCCCTACGCCATGGAATGCGCTGAGTAAGGACTGACATCCAAAGATGGCGCATGGACTGAGTTCCAATGGTGCGACTAAGCTAGAAATATGCCGCTTGATGAGGGCTTGCTAGGAAGCTGTGAGTAAACCAGTACCAATCAAGTAATCAGATTAAGTATATTGTGATCACTGGTCAGAGGAATTTCCAGCTGAAATAGTTTGTTTGCGAGCTCCTTCAGAACTTTTACTGTGTGGCTAGTGTTGGCAAGTGGTATTGCCGTGTCGGGGTGGGAGCTAGGAGGTTCTCCGGGACCAATAACACCCCGGAATTTATTCTGATCGTTCTACATGTGCGCGAAGAACGCTGCAGATGCCACAATTCGGCATGGGAGTGCTGAAGTCCGTCAATTAAGACCTAGATTAGTATATGCCTGAGCGTAAATGCAAAGAGACTTTGCAATGAGACCAGCGCTGCGGAGTCGTAGGGGGCACTGGCAAACCGGACATGATGTAGTTGACAGGTTGGCAACCCCACCTCTTGAGGGAATCATCGCACTTCTTCCTGTTCCCTAAAGGAGGATTAGTGGGCACGCGGCGCCAACGACATTTCGCTTACAACTATCGTTGAAAGTGGAGGCAACGGCAATGCAAGGAAACGCGTCATTTATGAAACATACTTTGTCCTCTTTATTGCCGATTGGTTCCCTTTATGGATTCTGCGCCGTTACAGGATATATCTGATACCCTCTGTGTCCTTTGGAGGATATTTCATTATTGAGTTGATTGGGTCCAATGTTGCATGGACCTCATCCTCCGCAGTCCAAAAACTTCATAGCATGTCGTGCATGCTGAGTGTCGTGCAATCCTTGGCTACGAGGTGAATTCACGAGGAACACATGCTCGTCGAGGTGCTCGTTGGTTATCTTCGTTGAGGTCAGCGGTTGCATGAATGTGACGAAGCAAGCATTGCGACTCAGGTCGCAAGTTGCGACTACGCTGAGTCTATTAGAAGACATCGTAGACCCATAGTTCGATCGCAACGACCAATCCATGCACAGGTTGTAACGCGCATCAGAAAGTAAAAAATCACAGATGCCTCCAACGTGGTGGGCGCATGTCGATCTTCCTATCACATGTCGAAATGCAGAATAGCGAAGCCTTGATAATTTGATTCTCAAGAGAACCTGCTTCGACCTTGGTGGTGTTTGTCACATTTTGTGCTCACGTGGATCTACTCGGGGATTCAGTAATTCAGACTACTAGTACTTACGCTTTGAAGAAAAGGAATGAAACGACGACCTGATGCAACGGACCCTGCAGCGCATAATGCCAAGCAGCTGAAGGACGGGATGAAATCAGGGGTGCCACCGAAGGAGAGCGCGTCGGGGAGTGCGGCAGACACACCTCATTTTAGCCCCGCGAGCGAAAAGGCGTGTCCCATACTATTAATCTATAGACTATTCTCACCCCGTTTTCCAGAGAGGAAGAAAGAATGGCATACTGAAGCGCCCCTCAAGTAACTCTGCGCATAACCTTTCTCTTGTTTCCCAAAACCCCGTGCTTTCAGGTCTGTCACGGCATCCAGCAGCAAAGGACAGATCGTAACAGCCCCACAGAGGAATCTCGTGAACACGTCGCCGTGCCATCTATCAAGGAAGCCATTCAATCCGTGTCATTGAAAGATCTTTTTAAGCCACAAGAACAGGACTGTAAGTTAGAGTTTGTTCTCGTGCCTTACCGATGATGGCCGCATTCTTGTTCAGCCGGATTCTCGCTTCTCGGAAATCTGGGGTTCAGCGGCGCGCTCTCCGATTTCGAACTGGAAGATCTCGCCATCTATGAGCCAGATCAATATTATTCTACCTTCGTTGAGCCGGTGGAATCCTCCGGCCCCATTTCCATCCCGGCAAGTGGTCAGGGTGCGGCGGTGACGTTTGATCCGCAGACTCCATTATTCTTTGAAATTCCTCCATTCGCTCGCGAGGCGAAGGGGAAAATGAAAGGCTCAAAGGCTAAGGATATATTTGACATCGCAAGGGAAGAGAGATGGTTCGAGTCTGGGGGATTCTGGAAAGTCCAAACTGAGTATGTTGCCCCATCGCGTTTTACGCCTCCTGTACTAGACGTTTTGCTGACAACTTGCCTCCCCATCCCTTCATTGCGTCATACAGTGAAGAGATCGAGCGTCGATGGGGGGAAACACGGTCAGAACTGCTGCATAAATGCAAAAAACGACATCGAGAAACGGTCAAACAGTCGAGAAGACGCCTCGGGAAGAGTGCTTCACGTGTCAACCCGATGGTGGTCCAAATATAAGGACAAGATTCGATTCTTTTTGCGAATGGGAGCGGGAGGGAGTGCAGACACCCAGCGATATCGGCTTTCATAAGGTGAATGAAAGCTCTATTTTCCCTGCACTCTTATTAGTGTTACCTACTATAGTTGCCAATAGCTTCACCCAGATACAGCCTGTATCAAAGTGCTCACGACGCGTATCACATAATATTGTCCATGGTCTGATCTGAGCATATCTACATACATCCGCTCGGCACAAATGGTTCCAAGTTCCACTCCTCGGCTAAGTTTGCACTCTCATAAACTGTCCAGGCTTCTTGTTCCTCGCCTGCTACCACCAGAAGGGAGGTGATGTAATGCTTGCTCGGGCCGCATCTCAGAGGAGCTTGCTGGTGTGACCTAATCCACCAGCAGCGGAGATATCGCCACGTACCTGTTGACCAACTCGGATCCTGTTTGCGTTTATTTTTGAACTCCGGAAAAGAGGGCGTCCGAGCAAATGATCTGTGAGACAACGAAGCCTTGCCTTAAGCGTAAGATTGAGTTGAGGGTGATATGTGGACGCGAGAAGAGCAGGAAGAACTCAGGCCGAGTGGTGGCAAGAATGAGAGGTCAATCTTGGGGCGGCACCGTAGTGAAAGCCCCCAGCCGGATCCGGCGCATTACCGGACGGACATTTCAAAGTGAGCGCTGTACCTACATCACCATAACTACCGGGGGTGCAGAAATTGAGTTTACTGGGGGACGCAAGCGACATGTGTTAACTTTGCGAGTCTCAACTTGAGGAGACCGGTGACCGTGCGATTTTTTCAACAACGGACCATGCGAATCTTCCCCATCTCCAATACCAACATGCTAAAATCCTCAAGATTGGGAGCAGCATAGGCGGCGTTTTCCAACAATCCTGTTCGCTTCCGACGCACTCTGGATATGCCAGTGTTGGGCCTACTTGATTAACCAGGCGAAATGGGTCCATGATTGCGGAATGATCCATATGAGCAATTCCATAGTCATTGACTCTGATGATGAAACTCGCTGAGGCTGTTGGCAGCACCTGGGTCCTATCCAACTAAGTCTGGACGATCTGCCAGTGTTGTCGTGAAGACTGACCAATTCAATTCCTGGTGCGGCGATAAACCATCTCTATGACATCCAATGACTTTGGCACCAGCTTATGTAAACACGCCAAAGCGTTTATGACATCACCCCACGTGCTGTTTGGCTCTGTGTACTTCAGTGTACCCTTTGTGGGCCAAATCAACATCCTACACAACGGTGCTATGCTGCCTGGTTGGCTTGTACCAATGCTACTAGTTCTAGCATGCCACATTTTATGACAACTCCGCATGTGGTGTTTCGCTTGGGGAACCCTTTGTTCAAGGAGCAACATTTTGGCCACTGAACTGGAATTGAATTCAATCAAGCCATGCCACCCAACGGTGCTATGCCGCCTTGTTGACTATTTATCGATACCACTTCTCAGTCCTGCCCGCACCCTCTTCCCCACTCCCTAAAGTCTTGAGAAGGCAGCATGAAAGGAACGGCTCGATCCACATCGAACTCGCATGGGAGAGTGTGTCGCGCTCTGGGTACCCATGGGCTCAAGACAGTTCCAACTACTCGGGGGCGATCGCGGGCTCAGCCATCCCAACCGCGGCGAAATGCACGAGAAACTCGTTCGACGCGTGAACATCGGACGACAGTAAAGGTCCAGAAGGACAGGAATGGAGCAAAGGGAGAGAGTACGCATATCAGGTTTTCTCTGCTTTCGCACGTGCGTGAATCATTTGCGTCCTCAGGTTCTGTGTCGGACGTCACACTTGTGGAGGTATCACAAGTCCGCTCAAAGGCGGTTAAGTCGAGTAGCAGTGGGCATGGCAAGCAATAATTTTTGGGCTTCGAGTGCATCGCTCTCAATACTTCATTTCTCCCAGGCAAAATGCGGTCATCTTCAACGGTTGCAGGTATTCCCAACTCAAATGGTCACCGACGGACCGAGGATCGTAGATTAAGATGCGAAGTAGGAAAGATGAACGCCAGAGGCATTCCCTACGCGAAGTTTTTAGATGCCACGTTTCCCACCTGGAAAGACCTTCCCGCAAATTTGGTCAACAAGCTACGAAATGAATTACTCGAGCTAAGGGACAAATACTTGGAGGTTGCGAAGAATCCGGGCAGCAAGGAGGAAGATCTCTACACGCCCTTTGCGAATCTCATGCACGGATTTTTGCGTGACAATGCAGGGCTGAGTGAATATGAATATGTACCGTCGCATAGGAAACGAAAGATCGGTGGCGCGGTCGGGGGGCAGCGCGAGGGTATGTGTCCTAGTGACCTCGTTTGGCACTACGGTTAACCAATTTCATCAGCCCTGATGGAGTCGTTATCCGCAAGCCGAGTGAAAAGAGCGACCCAACAAATGCCGATGATTTGAATTGGAGAAATCTCCACCTTGTCATTGACTTGAAGACAACGAAGAACTTCGGGGCTTCACTGAACCCTCCCAAGTCGAATTCGGGGATGACGGAGGACCAGATTAAGAATGAGTTGAAGAAGGATGGCGGCGTGAGATTGGACGGGAGGCAGCAACTTGCTAGCTACGGGTTGGAACAACTCTCGAGCAACCCGCTCAAGCAGTTTTGTTATGGCATGGTTGTCATTGGCCACTTCGTCGAAATGTGGTACTACGATCGCTCTGGACCCATAGGAACTGAAGTTATCGACCTTCGGAAGGAAGACCATTTTGAGCAGTTTTATCAGCACATGGTGGCGATATCGGGCGCAAATCCTTCCGGCCTTGGTTTCAATCCTCATTTTAATACCATCAAATGGCCGATTCCTGTCGATTCCCAGAAGATCACCATCGGCGGCCGGCTCATCTCATTCGACGCGTCTAAGCCTATTCATATCTCACGCGGGCTCACTGGGAGGTGCACGACCGTGTTCCCTGCGTGGGAGAAAACCTTCGGTACCGAGTCGGAACCCCCATACGTTCTAAAGCTCTCTTACCAACCCTGCGACCGTAAGCCTTCGGAGGCAGACCATTATGCCCTCCTGTTGGCAAAGGGAGTTGAGGGCATACCGGAAATTCTCTGTTCGGAGAAATTCCCCAGTCTTGCAGAGGAAGGGCCACGGGGTGCACTCATGAAACATCTCCCTGGTCATGAATTCGGTCCGATGCGATATCTTGAAGCTATTGTCATGGCTGACAAATTGAAGCCTATCACGTCCATCGATATCAATAAGGACACCAAAGTGTTTTTCCAAGTTTTCCTTTCCACCATTGAAAGTGAGTTTAACAGCGCTGCCTCATTTTGAGAAGCTCAACCGTCTTCAGTACATCGTCAGGCATTTGCGAAAGCAAACATACTCCACCGGGACATTCACGTCGACAATCTCATGTGTATGGATGTAGATGGGGGACCAACGGGATTTTTGATCGACTGGGATTTTGCTAGTGGGCCGGATTCTCATCCCCCGGAGAATCTAGAGCAAACTGCCTTCACACTGAATGGGAAGTTTCTTGCCATTGATCTCCTCCGAACAGAATCTCAGGCCCGCTTCTATCGCCACGATCTCGAATCGTTCTTTTGGCTCCTTTGGTCAATTGTTCTAACGCAAGCCAGTATCGTCGAGTGGGGGGAAATTGTGTCTAAATGGGAGCAAGACACCGTAGACGAACGTAGGGCCCGGAAAACGTATTTCCTCGATCGGACAGTGCAGGAAGTAATTGCAAGATTGATGGAATGCGAAGAGAGCGGTCTCTCCCATTCGGGCGTCATAGAGTGTCTTGTCCAGTTGAGCTTTCTTATTTCCGATGGTCAGGACGCTTTGCTATACAGGACTGAGGTGACGAACGTTGAGACTGCTGATGATCACATCACATATGCCAAGTTTGTAGCTGCTCTGGAGCTTGCGATACAATGATTACATGATTATAGGCCCGGAGCCTTCAAGATAGTTATGAATTGATCGTATGTGATATGATCACCCAACGTTTGGTCGTCAAAGGGGCTCTGCAAATCCGGTTTCAATAGGAGACGTTTGCTCCTCCGGTTTCTGGATGAATAGCCGTTGCGAAATGCCAGTCGGAGGGGCTGTATCCAAGTGGTAACAAGTGGCACCGCATCGGGAATCGGTGCCGAAGGTGCAATCAACAACCAACCTTCCTTGGAAGCACGTACATCTGCCCACGTTCCAGAGCTCCAGTTTGAGAAGTAATCTCGTTTCTCTGGTATATCCGCGCGCTCGTAGCACATTAAGAAAAGCACGTAAAAGAAAGACTCTAGGTCGTGTCGATAAAGGGCCCGGGGGAGAGGTTCTGGGCCACATAAATCGGCGGATCGGAATGCTACAGTGCCACCAGGAAGCGCAGGAACATCAAGAACCTCTCCAGTGCCCGGGTTTCTATCGCGAACAGCCATATCGAGGTCAATGAGAATGCCTCGAGTATGATCATTGGAGTCGACCATTAAGTTGTTGTAGCTGATGTCACGATGTAATATTCCAGCTTTGTTGTATAGTTCACGATGGGCTGGAAGAGGTTAATCGCACGAAGTTAGAAAAGGCGTGCGGGGAAGCAAACACGAACCTTCCACCAGCGATACAAACGCCTCCTTGAACGTGTCTATACTCTCTACCGTATACAAAGGAACACAAAAGGGTGACAATACTTGCGCACGCAACTCGCGATCTTGATAGGATCCAACTTTACAAAGCGTGCGACGGATGTGACCTTCGGATAAAACGAAGGCTGTACATGACGCATGTAAAGCTGCTAAGCCCTTGACTCCTTTCTCGTGAGCTAGACGGTAGAGCCCATCTTCGAGATGTTTCGAAACGGGTTGCCATGATAATTTGACGACAACGTGATCGGATTCAGAAAATGATGCGCCCGAAGAGTGCGATGATGCTGTGCTTGGTATTTTGGTGGCCTCGTACACGGAAGTCCCTCGTCCGTATAATGATGAAGAAGAATGGACGACACTAATGAGTTTGAACCAATGTCCTTCTACTTCAACTTCATGATCCCGAATGTCTGACCATGATCGACGTTTTGAACCCATTGGAGCCCGAAAGAGAGCCTCATAGCCAAGACATTCCTTGTCTGCGAGAGATAATTGAATAATCGAAGTGATGAACTGCTTTGACTGGTGTAGAATGTTGACAGTAGATGAACAGATAGATCCTGCACGGTCGAAATACCAGAATTGAAAATCTAGTCCGTTAATATGGAATCCTAGTACGTGACGCCTATTTCCAACTGACGATAGCGTGGAAAGCGCGTATTGTTTCAGGAACGGAGGATCGTCCTGAACGGCAGAAGGGGGAGCATTTTGTGCAGGTATGATAGAATCGACAACGTGATTGGACCTTTGTCTTTTCTGTGTACGATACGGAAACCCCACAGAAGTATCAAGGATCGGTTCGCGACGACGTCTTTCCATTCCTCCAGGGGAATGATGATGAGGTGGATGGATCGAAAATGCGGTTGCAAGAGAAGGTTGCGGTGACCCATGTGACGAAGGCGTCCATGATCTGCTTTCGTCGGAACCAGGAACAGGGATAAGACTCGTATTCGCCTCAATGATGACAAGCGCATTGGAAAATTCAAATTGCAGTGCTCCGTTGTCCGTTGCTTGTGCATCCACACCAAGGCATTGAGGAGTAGGAGATGATCCTGATCTGGATTTTTTCGTTTGGGCTGAAATGCGCTTAGCATAGTGAATATCGTGAGCGTAGCGTTGGGTGAATCCACAGTCCCGAGCCTCGACCAATATCAAGTTGAATAGACGCATAAGTTCAATATCTGGATCGTGAGGGTATGTAGGACTCAGTTTTTTGTGATCGTACGTTTCTATATATTGCTTTCTGTAAGCGAGGAAAGTGTCACTTTTTGACAAGCGTTCCGCCGCCTTTGGTAAACTAGGAGGCGGAGCTCCGAACGCTGCGTCGCAGAAATCCGTGAAGGAAGTTCGCAAATGGCTTTCCCCTGGCGGGTTATAGACAAGTTGTGTTGGTGCAGGGAGAGACTCGGGTGATGAGGAAGAGTTGGCGGTGGTTTGGGTATGTGCATTCGACGTGGTATATGGTTGATCTTCGTGTTCTCGATGTGTCAAGGTGTTATAGGCATATATCGTGTTTGAGCGGAGGGAGGGACTCATCCTCTTACGGAGTTTGGGTAAAAGACCTTATGTGAGTCAGTTGGTGAATAGAGGGTTTCCGGGAGAGACGCCACAGACCTAAGGTCACTGTTCCTCCCTGCCCCAGCACTTCGACAGAAGACGCAGCCATCCCTTATTACATACAGCAATTTGGGAGGGAAGAGGGTCAATTCTCCAGCGCAGAGAACCTCGCAACTCCAGAATGTTCTTCAACTGTCCCGACGAGGTAACGCCAAACTAAGGTAAAGAGCAGACAAGTCGTAGTAGGCCAATTTTAGTCCAAGATGAAGCGCGTCCGACAAACACGCAAATCCGATCCAGAGGCTAAGGTATCTCAGATCAAGCTTAAGCTACTGTCATTCGTTGACGGTGTGCGAAGTCCGAGTTCCCCCGTCGCGAAGAAACAACGGCCGTCTTGCACTGCCACCGCTTTTCACTGCCTGTCTGAGCACAATTTTTTTATTGCCGAAATAAGTCTCAGATGCAGTTGTTAAAGGCAGTTTGTGGGATCTATGTCCGATCGTGTGCGTGCAACCCTCACCGAAGCTGATTACAAGGCCCACACCGGAAGCAAGGTTGGGAGCCCTCGTCCCAACCAAGACCATGGTAGACTAGAGCGCCATGACTGATAAACGATTCAAACCAGCTGGATCAGGGTTTCCAGTATTCAGGCTTGTCCGCTATCTGTGCCCTTTGTGTTTTCGCCGCTTGAAGTCTCTCGCGTGAAGTCACCACAGTCCCTTGATCGCTTTCATGTCGGAATCATTTCGGAGCCTCCAGTTGCTGCAGCATCCTTGAACAAGCTGTCAAAATCCTGTTGGCCCTATGGCACATTCAAACCGTGTGATGACATTGCCTCAACTATATACACAGAACACTTGTCGCGCTTTATCCTACCAAGGATCCTGTTTCACAGCCATTGACATCTCATAACAATAGATCGGTATAACCACCCAGTTTCAGCGGAGCGAATCATTGTGTGCTCCTGGTGACGAAGGCCGGAGCGACATATGTCACTCAAAGGATTCAGGTGGCACCGCGCAGTAGCCCCAGTCTCGTGCCAGGGTGTGGACGCCGAGGTATATGTCCCAGAGAAATGCGCTAATATCGTGAGGATGAGGGACGGGAACCATGATCGTCTCGGGGTGGGGGTGGAGGTTAGGGGATGGCCCGCCAGTATCGGGGACGAGCGTCAGGCCGAGTGCTTCAGCCAGTATCTTGAGTCCAGGAGGGGGTCTCTCCACGTCATGAGGCGTGCATTCTGGAAAAATATCTTGAAAGACCACGCTCGGAGAGGCGAGGAACTCGGGTTGGAACTCCATAGAGCTTTCTTCCCCGACTTCAGGCCCAATGTCGTCGTCACCCCCACTGGTCCGATGCTCCTCGTGCAGCTCCGCTAATTCTTGGACGGCAGGGAGTATAACTGAAGAGATGGTGTCACAAGCGAACCAAGAAAACCGGTCTGACAGAAGCCCACCCCTGCTTGTATCGCATCGAAGTCGCCAGGTGCGTACTGCTGCGCGTACTTGCTTCTTAGCGGCTTCCCTTTTAAGCTTCAACGTCTAATCCCGTGGCCAGATGTGTTAGGGTAACCACAGCAGACATGAACGTGAGGGAGATGGTCGTTGCTTACAATAGTTGTTGATCGAATTGGGCCCTTTATTGGCACGCACTGGAGCCTAAACCGTTCGCATGCTACACAACTCTCCCCGTCCAGATGTACACATCGCTAATGTCGGAAGAAATGTACCGTTGACGGCTGATGAGTGCCCCAGGGTGCCAAACAACATGCCTTCTTTCGTATTCTGCAGGCAACACAGCCCTGGCTACTCTGAGAGCGTCTTGCAGACCTCTGTGTTGGCATGAGGGGAGGAAGTGGCAAGGATGCGTAAGAAAGGGGGAAGAGGGGCGCCTTTTATTTCCAGGCATGCTGTGGTCGATCCTTGGGTTCAATTGGAGGAGAACGGAAACGTTTGGTATTTTCTGGTATGGGCAATTGGAAAAAAATTCATGAAATGTGATGCAACTTTATGACTGATTTGGTACGCATAAATTGGGGGATACCGGATTTGTTTTGCGAATCTCACCCCCGAACGTCATCCCAGGAAAAAGAAGCACACCACCTTTTTGGGTCTTCTCACCCTCAGGAAAATACTACGTCCGCAGAACACGCAGAACAGATATCTTTGCTAGAAATAGAGCTGGCAAATTACTAGCGCTGCTGCCGATTGAGAGGAAGGAATCACCGAAGATGGTCATATCACCTAAGGAAATGGATGACATATTGGGGGTTCGTAATGAGGTTTACAAATCCGCGCATTTCTCTAATTTTGTGTGTAGTCAGGGCTGCAGCTGGGCGGACAATCGTAATGAGTGGGCAAAGCATTTAAATACAAATACGACCAGGGTTTCGTAATATCACTGTTTTTCGATGTGTGAGGGATACTAAGTAACGGGGGGCGCTCGGCTTAATTAGTCTGATGGATAGACTGGCAGGCCCGGTCACCGGTGACCATCAAACTCGAACCGGCGGAAATTGAATTTCGAACGCATCGACATCAATGAATCCAATTTGTGTAAATACACAGCCCAGGAAGCTGGGACTCAGCGTCTCCGTGCTCTGCGATCAAGGGTTCACTTATTATATTACTTATTGGTGCAGTAAACCTTGAGTGAAGCGCAAGCACCAATTCCAAATACATAGAATAACAATATAATGCGGACAACTCCGTTACAATACAGACAATTGGTTCGGCCAACTCCGCTACGATATTGCAGCCGCAAGGAGAATGATGGCGTGACTCTGAGTTACGCCTGAGCTTCTGACCATTTTTGGAGCTTGGCCCTCACTCACTCTTATTTTGAAAGGTCGGGCGGACTGTCTATTGGGTTTCGCTTATTGGCGAACTCTATGTCCTTTTGTATAGCACTGATCTAGAATCTTGCCCGGTGAACCCTGAACCGCCGGCGTTAAGAGCCGTATTCGCGTCCGCCGATAGTTGGATAGCTGCTATGGGAAGAGAGCTTAGATATGATGCCAGCAGACTAAGTGCAGGGGTGATACCTACCATAGATGATCATACCAAACTTTCGAAGCGATTCAATAGTGTACACGAGGCGTATGCCTCTGTAGATGGAACCTCTGATCTCTCGTGTAATCGGAATGGTCGTGGTCTCATCCTGGCTTCACCATTTCAGTTTTCTTTATCGGAGCTGTTGGTGGTGCGGGGAGGATGAGACCTCCACAGCCAACCCTGAGTTAGCGACTTTCGAAAAACCCCATTTCTGAAATGAACTTACCTGTGACTTTCTCGCGGGATTTCTCGTATCTCCACCTCCCTCATAGTTTCTGCCATATGCTTTTAATGGAGAGTGAATGATGCGTTCGACACCCAATCAGGTACCCACTGATCCAATTGTTGAAGATTTCATTTCGTGACACACAGATGACGGATGTTACCTATGTTTCCGCTAACGACAGGTATATGCCTTGTCTTGTTTATACCTGAGTAAGTTCCGTTGATAAATCATTCCAATGGCCGGAAGTGGTTTGCACGGTCACTTGGCTAGTGGTGTCGTGGGGAATATGACAAGTATAGGGATTGTGGAAGATGATACAGGAGTTGGGTGGTCATCGGGTCGCGTCGGGGCACGATAGAGGGATCATCTGTCAATTCTGGGTTAACCAGTCTCTCGTTCTGATGGTCTGTGGGAGTTCCAATCACTGCATTAGAATGTTGACCAGTACAAGTTCTCTATAGTTTGACTGACCTTGTAACATGTCAAGCAGTTCTGTCCAACATTTTCAGATCCCCAATGTAAAACCTAGAAGCAGTACAGTGCGCTCACTTCCGTTCTGAAGCGACTAGCAGAGTAATGGTGCATTGGTGTGTGGGGATAAACAAGATGGACCTGGTGAGTTGATATCAGGGATTAAGATGGGCGAGTGACTGGGGTTGATGATAGACGTACGAGGCTGCTGGAAATTGTTTGGCCCTGATCATGCGGGGGGGTGGGGGCGCAGGCGCTTGCAGAATTAGATTGTCGCCAGTACTCACCATCAACAGGCAAGCACCAGCAGTTTCTGTCGCCCAACTCAAATAGACATCAAGCACAACCATTACATGCCATGCGCGTTGACAAGACAATTCTTTTGACTTCGGCTGGCGATTGGCCTGGGTCTCTGCGTGGTACAACTAGACCTGTACGACGGCCATGTGTAAATTAGGCCTGGCAGAAGGGAGGACACGAGTCCAACTTGTCTTCGGAACCTGTCCTTAACAAAAGGAGCGTCTCTGGGCTCCGGCCCCTTCTACGAGCAACTTTTTCGGGGAGAAGCCGCTCTCGTCTCCTGAGACATAGTGGTTAGACTGCGCGATGACGCGACCTGCAAGTTGAGGGCACCCTCTCCACGAAAGTTCGATGTTGCTCAAAACACGAGGGAGCAGGACAGGGAGAAGCGCGGATAGATGAATAGGAGAATCATTTTGTGGACTCGTTGTGATGGGGTGGTATAGAATAAATCCCTCAAAACGGCACATGTGATAAGAAATCCCCCCCTTAGTGGCTCCACCTCTTCACTCAAATGTGGTCTAGCAAGACTTCAGGGTCATACCTTTACTTATGAGGACCAGAAGCAACTATTGTAATTGCCGCAAGGACAAAGCTCCCATCTCGAGATACTCGGACTAAAAAAAAATGGTACGTTCGTGGAAATTAGTAACAATTTATCCGTCAAGCAATAATAAAAGCACAGATCAAGGTTGATGTCCTCGCTCAAGGCATTTTACATTAATTCAGATTTATCAGAAACGTTCGATTCGTACGGGGCCATCCGGAGTTATTGGTGTCAAGGCTACCGTTTCTTTTTACTCCTGGATTCTTACAGGTAAGCGAGTTTTGTCTTAGGATTCCTTATAGGTATTCGGCTCCCTCTCAGTACAACCAGCACGAATGGAAGGCCGAACCCCGCTTCGTAGGGCAATCCGGATCATCCCTTACAGAGGCGACGACCACAGGACCTATGAATGGTTATAAGGAAGGATAAGGGAAAAGTATTCAATCGAGTTCAAATTCTGAATACAGTTATAGTTTATATGGCGACGGCTAGCTAACCCTCCCCTTACACTCTGCGGACGTGGTCGAATCTGGTGCTAACGAGCTCAACGTTTTTTTCCCCCGGAAATCTACAACTCAACATAGGCCCGACGGTATTCGCCCCCTTTGGACTGGAGTACTTCTGCTGCGCAACTGCGGAGGTTATCCATCAAACGGCTCCTTGCTTGTCTGACAGATATAGCCCAATGTCGCGGATGGGGATGCCTTTCCACTGCGATTGAGGGTTTTACTGTGGCGCCGAACAGCAATAGTTTGGCGCCCTGACACGGCCATACACATTTGCATTCAATTCCACCCCGTACCGTACTGTGACTACTACGGTAAACCATTCATACTACATAAGCCATCATACGGGTGGCCTCAAGCTCCCCAAGCGTCGCAACATACATTCCCTGCAGTGGCCAGGGAGACAACAGCCCCTGCCTCAAGTTAATAGCCCCGAAACTCTCGTCGCACCTCTTCAGGCTGAGTCAGCCTCTCACTGTTTCCCCTGGAACTCCGTTGCGCTTACAACTATCTGCCCCTAAGACCTCAAACCAAGCTACCGGCAGTCAAGGAACCTGTTTTTACATCACTCGCCCATCCCACCCCTTTAGGAAGCGTAGGCATTTCATATCTTTATGACCATTGTTCCTGCATCCTCCCCTGCCACCTGGAAAGCAACCGCATGCGTGCCCACTCACTGTGATACCTGCTTTAACACCAGCATCCTTGCCAGCTCCCATCCAACATGTCGAGTCATTGCCGCGCGGCTAACCCCCCCCCCTATCTGATTGGATGGCATACGTAATCTTTCTTCGTACGTGCGACCAAAGCACAAACGGTTCATACGGCAAGACTTCTGTGACGCGTGTCAATGTTCAGGCTCTCTATGTTGCGTTCAGCCTACAAGAGGGCTCGTTCAAGCATACCTTATCGCAGGCACCTGCCAGGTGGTACGTCTCGAGCTGTAGCTTGGGACATGTATCAGTTGGCCTGCGCGGGTCCCGCTAAGGTGCCCCATCCCAAGCCAGATACTAAGGTGTGGACATTAGAATTTGCTCGGAAGGAGTGGCATCTTATTAAGGTTATATATATGCCAGGTATGAACTTACATTTCACGACCGACCATGGGACACACTGCCCTCTTGAGACTGTATCGGCCACTTGAATTTCGACGTCTTCATGCCTGGTTCCCGTGGATATGAATGCTTTCATGGAGGGGGGCCGCTTGGCGCCGAGGGGCATGGTGAGTCATCGGCACCGACCAATTCTGTACGGATACAAAATTCTTGTTGTTCAGATATTCATCCCGCAAGTGATGCTTTTGGGACATAATGAAACCGTGACCGATGTCGTCGCTTGTCGAGCCCGTGGGATCGCCATACCGAGGGCCTACTTTGACAGTTCTCGCACTCACAGGACAACAACGAACAACCGCGACTGGAGGTTATAGGAAGATCCGTTGGCATCCGGGATGGACATGGGGAAAGGTGCTTGAGTGAGTCTCAAGTCCGGCAAGGAGATCCTCTGGCGGTATGTCTTGGGCGCCGACGTTCGGTTACCGTCCGAGGCCCGTTCCGCCATGGTTCCCTCCCCCCTTAGGCGCGATGATGACTCCAATCCCACTGATCCTACGTTCCTTTCTCTGAAGGTCTGCAAATTCCTCAATGGCGGGAGCATTTCGAATTCTGAAAACGTAACCTTACAAATGAACCAAGAAAGCCGGTTTAGCAGGAGCGCACTTCTGTATGTGTTGCTTCGGCGCTACCAGGTCGC